TCTGCATCTCTTCTTGTTCTGACTCCACCTTCAAAATGTGCATGTTCACCTCTTTATCTTTCAATCCCGTTATTGTTTTTTGGAAATTGCTTTTTAAGCAGAAGGCACCTTAGAGTAAGGACAGTGTCTACGGTCCTGTAATAGCTAAAACCTATTCTAATCCCAAACAGCCTTAGGATTTGCACATATCACCCACTTTCTGCTGCCTTTGCTGCTTCTCTAGTGTTAATCCCATCCTCTTCGCTTTTTGTCCACCCACTCTGTCAAATGTGAGCAACATGGCAAGAAAGAAGGAGGAGAATGAAAGGGAGGAGAGAGAGGGAGTACAGGAATCTGTGCTTGTGTATGTATGTAACGAGGAGGCGGTTTCTTTGCATATATTATATGAGTTTATCCCTTTTATTTGAGATACATGAATTGTCAGATGACTAGAGGGGTTTGGGGGGAGCACCTTAGGGTGGGGGGTTGATTCCTGAGACCACTCTGTTTAAAATCTTTCGTTTTAGTCTCTAAGCATAGAAAATTCCTGAGAAACCATGTTTTGACTCCTTGGTATCAAACATTCTTAGGATGTGAACATTCACACCAAAGCTGCATAGATTAGGGGTCAATTCGGACCAATTCAAGTTTAGCTAAGCAGCCAGGTATAGTTTTCACTACAGCCTCCAGGGGACCATTTGTTTACATGTTAACTTTAAACAGAGGAAGGACAGAACTGAAAAGAAAATTTCAAGTCTAAAGTTAAAGAATATCAGAGCAGTTGTTATTTCATTGCCAATAAGAGAGCAGGCTCAAAGAAAAGATAACGTTCAAAGCCGAGGAGTTGAAGGTAATAATGATTAGAGATTGTTTAGAAAAATTATTATTTTTTTAATTAATTAACTAATATTTATAGCACATTACACATTTAGCTGATCTTTAAGTGAATGAAACCAAAAAAAAAATGGAAGTAACTAACCAGCTGCAAATGTGTAAAACATGTCTGTGTTATATTTGCTTTTTGTTGTTTCATCGATGTTTATTGTTTTGTTTTGGTTAAAATGTATTAAGCTTGTCCACCGTCTGGCTGCATTCAGTTGTGGACACCGACTTTTTCTTTATTGATATTGTTCTAATGTTGTTTACAACCGACTCTCAGAAATACTAAAAAAGATGCAAAATCTGTAGCTACAGTTGAGTTTCAGTTTTGGAAAATGTCTTTGCTGTGGAAACCTTTAACTTGAATATCTTCCACCATACATGTTTTGCAACGTTTGGTAATTAGAATAGGATCTACATAATGATGAAGTCAAACACACAAATGAGTTTTGCATGCACTGCCTGTTAAACTGCAAAAGCAAATCTCTTTGCTCCTTTTGTGAAGATCTGCTTTGGCTGTATAAACAGGTTTGGACACGTTTAAAGACTCGTCAACCTTTTGAACATCAGGTCTTCTTATTAGTTTTCTTTCTAGAATTTGTCACTTGTAATTATCAAGGCACCATCTTGCAGACTCCATCGTTGCTGCAGTCACTATTAAAACACGATCACTTACTGACTGCCAGAAAACGTTCAGTTTCACCATCGCTAAAAAACCTCAAAACCATCTCTGTTCTGATCTTCATCTTTGTCTCCGATGCTAACTTTACAGCCATAACATTCATTAGTCTGTAGCTTCTCATCACTGATCACCTTTGCTTTTAAAACTATGATCCTCTTTTGACTGTAACTGTCTTGGGGTTTCGGCTTGTCTCACTTCTTAAAAAGCTTTTTGTATTGTCTTTACAGAAAGGATTACCACATTACTCCTTTAAATCAGTAAATCTAAGCTTCATAGTGCAGGGGAGATTTAGATTCCATTCACAGCATTTTCTTCCTCTGACCTACAAATGTAAAATCTCTCAGCTCCAGATGTACAGACACAAACAAGTAAAACCTGAACAGAACACTCATCCATTTAGTCCCTCCAACTCACGGAGTGCTTTTTTTTCTGGAGCATGCTGTACAAGAACAGCTACTAGAAACTTTCCTTTGTCTCATCTCCCTGCCTTTGGAAGCAGGTTGCCCCTTTCCTCTAAATGTCAACTCTTAATCGCTTGTGTCATCTGATGTAAGCTAATATCTCATGGGATGTGACTTTCCATGTGATGAGTCAGCAGAGGGATTATGCAGCAACGCACTTATATGAACTGTAGACACAAGAGAGCTGGTTTTGCATGATCAACTGTGAGAGATGTCAGCCTGAATGAAATGTATAGCATGATCTCCTCTCTCAAGTAAAGCAAACATGGACAAAATCTTTTGTCTGATTATTTTGAAGGTGCTGTGTTTCCTAATCACCTGATCAAAATGTAAACATTAAAAAAACTGCCCTGGTCCTTTTACATATTCCCTAAATATTTACAGGCATCTCAGTGGAAGAAGTCGCATAAAAAAAATTTATTGACTGATTGTAGAAACTCACAACCAAAACCATCTGGATGTTATGAAGCAAAATGGAAAACAAATCTTGAGCGCCTAACATCAAATGGGCATGGCATGGACATATCCATTTTCTGAAGGAAGGACAGTGTTTGATTTTTGTCTGCAGATGTTTGTACAAAACATGTCTTTGTTATCCAGGCCAAAACTGCAACATATGCAAAACCTATGTTTTTTTTTTTTTTTTTATAAAACACACCAATGCCTCTTTACCACTAGCCTGGTGAGACCATCCTGATCTCGCGAGCTTTCAAGATTTCGCTCACTAGTCAGTCTGGAGACTCTCCCTTGAAGAAAATTTGGAGCCGTTCATCAAACGAACGTCCAATCAGCGTTGGCTTTGAGGCGGGTTGAGGTGTGACGCAACGAGAAGCGCGACAGTTCAGTCTAAAGAACATGGCGGCTTCAGCCGATGAAACTAGCGTTAGCGTGGCTATCGAGCAAGTTTTATCGGAATTACAGAGTATTTCTTCACTGAAAGAAGAGCAAAACACTGCTCTGGAGGCTTTTCTCAGAGGAAAAGATGTTTTTGCTCTTCTCCCGACTGGTTTTGGCAAGAGTAGCCTGGCTGTTAGTACGTCATATGCTTCGTTGATCTGATTGGTCTATTTGGCCCGTCTATCAGCAACATAGGCCAATCAGCTAACCAGTATTTTCGCCCCTTCCCAAAATTACTTCAACGGAAGGTTTCCAGATGGATATGCGGAGCAAATCCATCTGGCGGAGTCAGGTTACTTTACCACTTGTGTCACACTGGAGTCCTTCCCCTAACCATCAGCACCGTTTTACTCTTTTAGAAAAAGAGAAAGAAATATTTGTAGATAGGAATATTTTTCCATCAGGTATCAGATGTTTAGAGCACAGGTAAGTTCAGATTCCTGGACTTAAAACCTTCTGTTGGAATTGGACTGTTGTGCAACAAAAAGCTCAAACACTGAACCAGTTGGGATGCAAACAAAAGATCCTCTTTTTATGATTATTAAGAACATTTTCATTTTCCAACTAAAATGACTGACAGATGCTGCATTTCTCCTTCTGCTAAAGTTAGGGTATCTGGGATTTAAATTGAACTAGTTTGAAACAGACAATTTTTTTGACCCAACTCAGCCTGTTTCTTGTCAGCATGTTTTTGGTCATTATAACAAACAAATACAGTGAAGCTAAATTAAAAGCAATAGATCTAAGCTAATCTCTACTTTAAAGATCCTTCTTCTCTGAATAAATAGCGACATAACTGAAAACACTGAAAGGAGAAAAATACTACCTACATCAGAGGTTTCATATATTTTCCTTGCTGTGTGTCCAGAGCCGGCACTGCCAACAAATGTTTAGAAATCCGCTTTAACAGAATGAGCCCCTGTACGGAAGAGGATTAGGGCCACTGGAAAAAAAAAAGTTAACTGATTTAAAAAAAAATTTTTTTTAGTTCAACATAGGAAGAAAGTCAGAATTCTAACTTTTTTATTGTCAGAATTCAGTCAGAATTCTGTGAAAAAAATCAGAATTCTGAGAAAAAGTCAGAATTCTGAGAAAAAAGTCAGAATTCTGAGATTAAAGTCAGAATTCTGAGAAAAAGTCAGAATTCTGAGAAAAAAGTCAGAATTCTGAGATTAAAGTCAGAATTCTGAGAAAAAGTCAGAATTCTCAGAAAAAAAGTCAGAATTCTGAGAAAAAAGTCAGAATTCTGAGATTAAAGTCAGAATTCTGAGAAAAAGTCAGAATTATCAAAAAAAAAGTCAGAATTCTGAGAAAAAAGTCAGAATTTTGAGAAAAAAGTCAGAATTCTGAGATCAAAGTCAAAAGTCTGAGAAAAAAGACAGAATTCTGAGAAAAAAGTCAGAATTCTGAGATCAAAGTCAAAAGTCTGAGAAAAAAGACAGAATTCTGAGAAAAAAGTCAGAATTCTGAGATCAAAGTCAAAAGTCTGAGAAAAAAGACAGAATTCTGAGAAAAAAGTCAGAATTCTGAGATCAAAGTCAAAAGTCTGAGAAAAAAGTCAGAATTCTGAGATTAAAGTCAGAATTCTCAGAAAAAAAGTTAGAATTCTGAGAAAAAGTCAGAATTCTGAGATTAAAGTCAGAATTCTCAGAAAAAAAGTTAGAATTCTGAGAAAAAGTCAGAATTCTGAGAAAAAAGTCTGAATTCTGAGAAAAAGTCAGAATTCTGAGAAAAAAGTCAGAATTTTGAGAAAAAAGTCAGAATTCTGAGATCAAAGTCAAAAGTCTGAGAAAAAAGTCAGAATTCTGAGATTAAAGTCAGAATTCTCAGAAAAAAGTCAGAATTCTGAGAAAAAGTCAATTCTCAGAAAAAAGTCAGAATTCTGAGATCAAAGTCAGAATTCTGAGATCAAAGTCGAAAGTCTGAGAATAAAGTCAGAATTCTGAGAAAAAAGTCAGAATTCTGACTTTTTCCCATGTTAAACTGAAATAAAATTTAAAAATCTTTTTTTTTTTTTTTTTTCCAGTGGCCCTAATCCTCTTCCGTAGCCCCTGTGATCATTCTCCCCATGAGGGATATAAAGAGCTTGTCTCTGTGTGCAGGATGGTCGTCTGAGGCCAGGAGATCAGCTCATCGCCATCAACAAGGAGTCTTTGATTGGTGTGACTTATGAAGAGGCGAAAGGCATGCTGAGCAAAGTTAAGCACAGGTAAGTTAGAAAATAGCATTCATGTGTAACTTAAAGCAGGGCGGTTGAGATTATTATTTTTTAGTTTAATTAAAGACACGTTAGAGTGATCTCACTGACAAATATATAACGAGACCTAAGAGTAGAGAAGGCTTCTGATTTGATGTCCCACAGTGGAAAATTCAGGTGTTTTAGAAGCAAGTAATAGAAAAGATGATAGATCCAAATATTCTCATCAAGGTGCATTGATGTGTAAATTCAAACATTACGATTTTATCTTCAATAATTTTAGTGGTGTCAAAAGTGCACACATTTGTTACTTAAGTAGAAGTATAGATACTGCAGTTTAAAAACAAGTATCAACTTGACCTTTTTACTCAAGTAAAAGTAAAAAGGTATGTGCTCCTTTCAGACATTTCAACATCTTTTTCTGAATCCCACATTGTAGCATGGCATAGACAATTCACGTTAGCAGTTTGAAGAACACCTGCTTGCTTCTGATGATTTCCTTTAGCTAACCAATGAGTGTTTGTGTTCTATGACTCATCCAATCACACTAGTTTTCACTAGATGTGGATGGAGCCAATGATCTGCATTGGATGGAGCACATGACGGGAAATAAATATTTATAAACATTAAACCGTAGCCAACGAGTAAAATTTTTTTTAAAAATGTAAGGAATAGAAAATACAGATACTTGTGTGAAAATGCAATGAGTAGAAGTCAGAAGTAGGAAGAAAAATAAGTAATGGAGTAAAGTATAGATTCCTAAAAAGTGTACTTAAACACAGTAACGAAGTATTTGTAGTTACTAGACACCTCTGCTTAATTTGCACATTATTAAAAAAGGGGACCGAAGGGTGTGTTCCAACCACAGAGGAATCACACTCTTAACCCTGGTAAGGTCTATTTCGGAGTCCTGGAAAGGAGGGTCTGTCAGATAGTTGAATCTGGGATTCAGGAGGAGCAGTGGGGTTTTAGTCCTGGCCGTGGAACACTGGATCAGCTCTACACCTTCAGCAGGATTCTGAAGGGTGCATGGGAGTTTGCCCAACCATTCTACATGTGTATTGTAGAATGTACGCATCCGACCGTGTCCCTTGGGGGGGGGGGTCCTGTAGGGGGTACTCTGGGAGTATGGAGTACCTTTTAATAAAGTCTGTTAGGTCTCTGTACGGTGTCAGAGTCTGGTCCCGTTGCCGGCAGTAAGTCAGACTCGTTTCAGGTGAGGGTTGGACTCCGCCAAGGTTGCATTTTGTCACCAATTCTGTTCATAACTTTTCTGGACAGAATTCTTAGGCGCAGGTGTTGAGGGGATCTGTTTCGGTGGCCTTAGGATCATGTCTCTCTTATTCGCAGATGATGTGCTTCTGTTGGCTTCATCAGGGCGTGATCTACAGCTCTCACTGGAGCGGTTCACAGCCGAGTAAGAAGCGGCCGGGATGAGGATCAGTGCCTCCAAATCAGAGACCATGGTCTTGAGCCAGAAAAGGGTAGATTGCTTTCTCCGGGTTTGGGAGGATGTACTGCCCCTAGTGAAGGAGTTTAAGTATCGTGTGGTCTTGTTCACAAATGAGGGGAAGATGGAGCGGAATATCGATAGGCGGATTGGTGCGGCGTCTGCTGTGAAGCGTGCGCTGCACCGGTCTGTTGTGGTGAAGAGAGAGCTGAGCCAAAAAGCGAAACTCTCGATTTACCGGTTGATCTACATTCATACTCTCATCTATGGTCATGAGCTTTGGGTCATGACCAAAAGAACGAGATACCGGATACAAGCGGCGGAAATGAGTTTTCTCTTTAGTGTCTGGGCTCTCCCTTAGAAATAGGGTGAGGAGCTCAGTCATCAGGGGAGGACTCAGAGTAGAACCGCTGCTCCTCTAAGTCAAGAATAGCCAGTTAAAGCAGCTCGGGCATCTATTTAGGATGCCTCCTGGACGTCTGCCTGAGGTGTTCCGGTCACGTCCCACCGGGAAGAGGCCCAGGGGGAGACCCAGGACACGCTCCAGAGACTATATTTCTTCAGCAGGCCTGGGAGTGCCTTGGGATTCCCCCGGAGGAGCTGGTCCAAGTGGCTGGGGAGAGGGAGGGAGGGAGGGAGGGATGGATGGATGGATGGATGGATGGATGGATGGATGGATGGATGGATGGATGGATGGATGGATGGATGGATGGATGGATGGATGGATGGATGGATGGATGGAATTGGCACATTTCATTTATTGTTGCGTCTTTTCTAATTATTTTCAGTCAAGATAACACGGTGGACATCGCCTTCATCCCAGGAAAAGGGCTTTTTCCAAGCAGCACATCGCTCCACAACGGAGTACAGCGAGCCGCAGCCAACAGCTACAACTCTGGACGCCTAAAAGTTCACATCCGATCACCTGAGGTCAGGTTTATTACATTTCATAGTTCTGTCTGGGTTTTACTACAGCTAAGTCTTTTTTTTACTTTTGCAAGAACAAGGCTTCTCTAAAAGCAGAAATATTTTCAGCTTCTGCCGTTTTTCTTAACACTTTCTAGGATACAGCAACAGGTATTCTGGGACCATATTTGCCAAGGAGTTACTGCACTCAGTATTTGTGGTCAGTTTCACAAAGCAGGTTTACTGAAAACTGAGGTTTTTTAACCCTGATATCAGGGAAACTTAGTTTTCCATTTCGCCAAGGGAGTTTACTCAACATCTGTTTATGTAGCCGTAGTAACATTCTCACCAGAGCTAACTTGATCGGGAGCAGCTGTTTTTCAGTGTCTGTCTCTGCTCTCCAGGAAACCAATCACATTGATTTATTTAATGATTAAGTCAGGGAATTTTTATTCGTTGTTTTGTGCATAAAAAATAAAAATAATTGGATGAAAGAACATTGATGGAGAGAAATATCAGCTGTGCTGCTTCCATCAACACCTTTATTTATAGATGTTGGAGGTCGACCTGTTTTTCAGTGTAGTCCTGTTTCTATGACTGGGACTGGCTGGATGTGCTCTCTTCATCCTCTGACATGGGAGCTGGCTGGGAGCTCGTCTGCCTGTCTGTGTTTCCTGGACAGGGCCGCTTTTTACAGTTGCCTTTTGTATCTCTGCTTCTGTCTCCTTGAACCCCAGTCGGCCTCAGCAGATGGCCACTCACACTGAGCCTGGTTCTGCTGGAGGTTTCTTCCTGTTCAAAGGGAGTCTTCCTTTTCACTGTCGCTACAAGCATGCTTAGTGTGAGGGATTGCCTTTGGGTCAATGAGTCAACTGGTTTTCCTTAGATAGAAAACTTTGAATCTAATTGAATGGATAATCTGGTGAACTGTAAAGTGCCTTGAGATGAGGTGTTGTGAACTGGCGCTATATATATAAACTGAATTGAATTGATGTGTCATAACAGCTTCATAGTTTATAGTATTTACTGTGTGATGGAAGAAGTATTTTATTCTGCATTGAAATCTCCAGTTCCAGCTGTATGAAATAGACCCTTCCTCCTGCATGTTGTCATGGTGACTTGTTGAGTTGGGGCTCCATTGATGATGGTTTTTCATAGTTGTCACTGTACAACTATGAGGGGAAATCGAGTGTACAGTATAAAGATGCATGAGATGATCGATAAGATTCTAAGATGCATCCTGACATATTCCCCATTTATTCCTCCATTAATAAACGTGGATGTTTCAAGTCTATTTAAACTTAATTGTCATTTTCGAAGTGAATGCTATGAAAACCAGAGATCTAAAAATATTTAGTTGCTCATTAAGAACTCCAGTTCAGTTGAAACTGTCCTACTAATAGTGTCATACCTCACTAGATATGATCTTTCAGAAGGTTTTGTTGTGTTTTTATCCTTTGCTAATATTTATATAGGGGTCAGAGGGGCTAGCAACTGGATGGAGGTAAAGAGAGTCGTTGATGTCACTCATCTTGTTTTGGTCTGCAGACACTCTTCATTAGCCTGTCTGTAGACCATACAACCTGTCAGTAATGGTGAAGTTTCACTAATTGCCCAATTAGGTAAATAATAAAGCTGCCTATCCACTGAAATTAGCGGGTTAACATTGCCACTTGGCAAAAATCCTGACCGGCAGCTGTGTAGTCTTTGTCTGCGCACTGCTGCGTATCTTGTGATGTCATCATGCTGGTTTGGCGTAAATGATGTCATCAGTGCAATAGAAATCAGAATAATAAAAAATAGAGAGCAACATGGAAGGCAGGCAGGGCAGGGCTCTTTTGTCCATCTGAATCTCTCTTACCTACGCAGCCCCTCTGATGACATGGTCAAAAAAATAATTTAATTGTGGCCACGAAGTAGTATTTCATGGCCACGCAATAAGTATAACGTGCACACGAAATACTACTTCGTTGCCACGCAATAAGTTTATTGTGCGCACGAAATACTTATTAATAATATTAATATCATTCCTGGACAACTGGGTAAGCAAATTGAGCGCGCCTTCTCTAAGGTCTAAGGCACGCTTGATTTGCTTACCCAGTCGGTCTTCGCCACTCACGTGACATTTTTTGCTAAGACGCCATTTTAGGTGGAAAAGGCGTAGTGTAAACAACCGCAGCATAGCTAAACGAAGGACTAAATGCCCGTTTACATAGCAGCCTCTCCAAGATAAGTCATTACAGTTAACATAAGCCTGAAAACAGGGGCGGATTTATTGATATTATTAATAAGTATTTCGTGCGCACGTTAAACTTATTGCATGGCCACGAAGTAGTATTTCGTTCGCACGTTATACTTATTGCGTGGCCACAATTAAAAATTTTTTTTGACCATGTCATCAGAGGGGCTCCCTACTTACCAGTGCTGCTCCATGCTTATCAAATGCAATCAGAGTTAGCTTGTTAGAGACTTGATTGGCACAAAGTTGTGACATGTTCAAGGGTATCAGTGGCGAGTGGATGAGCTGTTTGAAGGCAATTTTTACCCATGTCACATGCCGAGTAGTTTACCAGGTTGAAGAAGGTCAATGGACCGTTCCCACTGCCACTGACACTCGATTGCTTGCCTTTTTGAGCAGGTTTTTTGGTCAGTGCTGAAAGGGATCTAAGAATACTTTTGACACCTCTAGTTTTAGCCACTTTTAGTAGCTGTTGGCCAGATTAACGGTTAAAGAAGGTTTAGCCCCATATTAATATCTTTTGGATAGTTTAATGTTAACAGATGGAGTAACATGGTTTCCATTTAGCTATTTTGTCATAGTGTTGGTTAATTGTTATACATATAGTTGATCTTGGCTTGGGAGTCTGCTGGGTAAACAGGAAAGTGAGGCCACTGAGGGGGAGACAGATGCGAACAAGGAAAACAAATGAGGAATAATCTGGAAATATGAGGGAGTTTTCTTTTTGAAACGCCAGGGGTTTGTGACTGAGTGGAGTCCTGGGGTTATGTTTGTTATAGCAGGTATTGAATGATAGATGAGGCAGCGGAGGGCAGATAGGTAGCACATGAGGACTGGAATGATTATGGCTGTTGGTCATGGAGATGTTGTTTTAAGTACTAGTGATTGGTGTGAAGAAAAGCATGAGCATGGAGAAGGAAGTCAGGTTGGGTTCTAGGGTCCCTTAAAAAAAGAAGCAAAAGTAATCAGCAGGGAGCATCTTTAAAGGGACCAATTATCAAAGTTAAAAAAGAGACCAGGTTAAACTCTCTGTGTTAACAACTGGCAGCCAGCTCCTGATATGTTTCAAGAACACACCAATCCTAGACAGTCCAGAGAGTAGCCCTCCACCAAGCTCCAGTGGAGAACCCACAGAACTCAAGTGCAAACGTACACAAACCCCAGTATCCTGACAATAACACCTTTATGTTTGTCAAAATGGGAATAATTGATTTGTTGAGACCAAGTAAAGATGTAAAAATACTGGTGCAGAAATCTGGTATTGTTTTGGTTGTTGATGGTTGTTAACCAGCTGCAGTCCATTTAGCCTTCTAAGGATCTGTCCCTATGACTGCTCTATAGTATGTAGTCATGGTATGATTGTCACTTTGCATTACAGAGTCATCTAAGTTAAAAAGGTTCCAGCAGTGCAAAAGTCAATGAAATCAGATAGGGTCCTATTCAACACAAGGCAATTTTTTTGTAAAGCACAGTTCAGTACATGGACAATTCAAAGTGCTTTACATGAATTTGATAATAAAATGTCAACTTTGACTTCAAAGAACTCAGGCTTTCAGCTCTTTTCTAGTCTTCTGTTCCAGATCAATGGAGCATAGGAACTAAATGCTGCTTCTCCATGTTTGGTTCTAGTTCTGGGTGGGGAGAGTGGACTGCAACTAGAAGACCTGAGTGGTCTGGGAGGTAGATGCACTGACAACAGATCTGTTATGGATTGAGGTGGTGATCTATTCAGTGATTTCTAGACTAACAGAAGGATTTTAAAGTCTATTCTCTGAGCTACAGAGAGCCAGTGGAAGGACTTCAGAACCGGCAAAACCTGTGAAGACACTGTAGCAGTAATCAATTCTTTTACAGATAAATGCACGATTGAGTTTTTCTAAATTCACCAGTGCATTTCCAGCTTGTTCAGTTATAAAGCAGCAAACATAACGCATAAAAGTGAACAACTTTTAATGATGAATCAGCGCTTAATTCTTTAAACCAAGACTGTTCAATATATGTTAAGGTGACGTTAGGTTGAACTTATAACATTTTAACGCCTCAAAATCATCCTAAGATTTTCCAGATTCATAAGATATATATTTTATATTCTACCTTTTTGCTCCTGAAAGTAAATCATTCACAGAGGGGGGAAACAGCAGCTCTCTCTCCAGTCTATTTCTTTATACCAAGCTATTGTTCCTCATCTTCCCCTCATGATCTAACACATTCTACTTCTAATCTGCTCTGTGCTTGGCACTGGACTTCTTTGAGCCTATTGTTTGCCTTGTTTGCACGCACAGCAATGCAGCCACTCAAATCTGTCCCCTTCCAAAAGCCCCACAAAGGCCACTGGCATAGCTGGGTAGTGGGGTACATGTGATAGAATGTACTTCCCATTCGTGGGCCTTAGTGTCATACAAAGTGGAAGGTATGGAATTAAGCCTTATAAACAGAGATCTTTTCTTGTCAGGCTTTTGATGACACGTTAGCATTGCCTCCAAAAATGGAAGATTCCATGTCCTTCCATGTAGATGTCAACAATATTTACCTGTACCTTCCTTAGAAGATGATCTAAGTAAGGTATATGTAGATATGATCTTCTCACTAGTTTTCAGTGGGGTTTGGGCCTGTGAAGTGCAGAAAAAGCAGGTGCAGTCCATTTAGCATCCTTGTTTTCAAATATATATGCAGAACATATGCTAAACATCAGAACCTGTAAAATACTGGAGATTTACACCTGCAATCCAATTTATCAATTCTGAAATGAATGTGGGTGCAGTTTTTGCATCTATATTTAGCATGCTTAAAAGTCACGAACAAATGTTTTACCATTTTGGCGACAAGGAGGCAAATGTGAACATGTTAACATGTTTGTTAGGTTTATTCAATGATGATTATACAATTAATGTGTGCTTATGAAACATTGTAGAAAGGAGATGCTTCACTCTGCCTTGTGATTCAGTCAAGAGCATCCTGTCTTATGACCTGATCAACTGTCCTGTCAGAGCAATACCCTCTTTTGTAACCATTTGTTATGTTCTGTTAATAAATAAGGCATTGCAAGGAGGGGGGTCGGAGAGAGAGAGTAGTGAGTTGGGTGCGGCCCTCTTCCCCTTCTGCAGAAGCTGTTTGAAAATCCCTATCTGTGTGAACTCAGTCTCTCTTTTACGAATCTAAATTTTTTAACCTAACAATGTTCACATATGAAAATTTTTGACTGTCAATAAAAAAGAGAGGTATCATCAATCTAGCAACGCCATTTGAAGCTGCAGGATTATATCATTTTAATCCTACATTATGTTTAAATGCACTGGAGGGATGCTTCTATATGCTATAAGCTGGCGCAGGATATAGTTGTCTGCTTCATGTTCCAACCTGGACAGGACAGAATAATGTTGATAGTATTAATGCAATTAAACAACGAAAATTAAACATCCTAACTGAATTCAAATATTGTAATGTTAATAAGAGTAAACATTAACAGGAAACCCTCACCCAACCCGTAGGGGAAGAAGCAGCTGGGTTCTCCACAGCTGCACTTTGTTTGCAGATGAAGCTTTGTGTAGTTTGATTTTTCCAGACTGAAAGACAAAAAGTGATTCTCTTTTAACATGACTGATATTTCATCATTTAACTCTATCTTTTATCATTTTCATGCACTTTAAAATGCATATAGAAAGAGTGTTTTATGATTAAAATGTGTTTTTATATTTGTTTGTTTTTTTCTGTGGGTTTATTTTATTAACATCACCTCAAACTTTGAATTTCATCTCTTTTATCTCACAGCACCCTCAATTAAACAGTCTGGACTGTGAAACCTGCACCAGTTATCCATTGCACACAAAATCTTAGTGTATTACCTACAACACCACCTTTAATTGCATGTGCAATGTTGTTTTTTTTACAAACAATCCAGTGCAACTTATTTTAATTCCTGGGCAATTGGTTGTTTACCTATTTTAATTGGACTAATTTTCTTATATAATGAACAAGTTATAAATGAAAATTCACAGAGGTTGCTTATAAAGGGCATAACTCAAGGATTAAAGAGAAAAAGCCTCAAATAAAAATAAAATAATCATCCTTTTTTTAAATAAAAGTGGCATGATATGATATGATATGGCTTGTGTGCAAAACTAAGACTAATTTGCACTTTGATGTTTTCTGATTTCTAATTAGAGGATCTGAGTTCTGGTTTTATTTCATAATGTCACCAGTTTTATTATAAACAGTTTTTGTGAAATAAATAGATAAACCAACAAGTAGGTGACAAATTTAAATAACATTAGACGCATTACATTTGCCTAAGTCTTATCGGGAAACGTTCTGAAAATGGTAATTTGAAGACCCAACTTTTCAGATATCCTTAAACTGATACAACAATGAGCTTTATTCTTTTTCTTGATTGTTCAGTCAGTACAAAACAGTTTAAGAGTCGGCTTTATTAATCTCAGGGTGTCCTAAAAGTCAAAGATATTACCCTGAAAGGTTACTAAAATCTTTTCTCTGTTCTGCGTGAGCTCTGCTTTTATTTCAGTCGTTTTCTTTGGTTCTCTTGGTGCAGATCTGTGCAGAGGAGCCAGCTCCAGTGTCTTCACCCTCTCCAGACATCTGTCCTCCAGATATTCATATTTCAGGTACAACTAAACTAAACCGTCCCTAAAAGCAGGTAACCGTCTCCCCATAAGCCTCTTATCTACCAATACCACAGCTGAAGATACTATTTCAAAGGCATCCATTGGGTCTGCATCATGCATTCTGTTTTTTTTGTGTTTTTTTTACCTTATTTTTGCTTACCTCATTATCTATATGGCTAAGAATAAAAGTCCATGTCAAGAAACAAAAATAACAAGGATAAAAAAAAAACATACTAATTTCTCCTGTTTTTATTTGAGCATTAAAGGTATTGTGGAGGATTTTTTTAAAAGACCCGCCCTCTGCACTTAAAAAACTAAATGCTCGTGCAAGAGCATGCACAAGCCAATTTCTCTTTGTGCATAATCCCCTGTTTAAATGATGCTGTTCTCATAGCTCATACACGTTCACTGTGTCTACATACGGCGGGGACTATATAGTGGACTTTATAGTGAACTCAGTTAGCTGACCGTTGGGACAGATGCCTGCGCCATCTTTGTTATCAGTCGCTGCTGTCAGGTAGTGACAGCCTATGGCGACAGCGGGCTGCTGTGACAGCAAATGCCATGATGCTTTGCGAGGAGAGCTCTCTGCGCAAAGCATTCTGGGATATATATGCCTCTTCTGAGGCCTGTCTTTTCTTCTCATACACTTCGTAGACACTTTTTCTCTTATGATCCTCGGCCATTTTTAAAGAACCACAGTGAGAAAGGTGAGCTTCAATGACTGTCTGAAACCGTAGCTCAACACAGAGCTAAGCCTGAGAGTGCGCATGCGCAGAAAGAAATTAGCTAACTGTGGACGGCCTCATGTAAAAATATCGCCAGAATAATTTACAATTAGGAGGACCTCTTATTTGATCCACCCTGAAATAAAAGACCGTCCTCTATACCAGCGGTCCCTTACCTTTTTTGCGCCACGGACCGGTTATATGTCAGACAATATTTTCACGGACCGGCCTTTAAAGTGTGGGGGGTAAATACGAGCTAATAAAATGATACGACTGGCATAAAATCAAATACAAACAACATAAAAATAAAACTCACAATTTTGTTGAATTAGTGGGAGCCCTGAGCTTCACCGAAACAAACCAGTCCCATCTAGGCGTAATGGGAGACAATGACACACGAATTGTGCTCCTGATGTCCAGTCTTCCCAGTCTGGCTCTGTTTTGGTCGCTGTAACCGTAGAAAATCCTGCTTCACAAAGATAGGATGTTATAGATAGGATGCGTCTTGACCTGAATTAACAACCTGTGTCAAGAGGCACAGATGCACCGACTGATGTAATTGGGAGATAATACCCCAATGTCTTATATTTTTCAAAATAAAACATCACTCAGACTCTGATCGTCGATAAATTATAAATATATATTTTTTTCTGTGCGGCCCGGTACCAAATGCCCGGTGATTGGGGACCGCAGCTCTATACCATAAAGCCACAGTTTATTTTAAGTCTCCTCTGATAATTATTTTTTCTTTGCGGTCAAATGTATCTTTTACTACTCCTAAAAAGGTTTGCATTCACCACGACCTAGTCTCCATTTCAAAACTTGCATTTTATTTTAAGAACTTAAGGATTTTGTGTTATCATTATTTTTCCATGATCATTTTCACACATTATTCTCACCTTCATCCTTCTTGCATAATATAGATTTAAAAAAAGCTGTGTCACCCATTACCTTTCAGACTGTATTAATCACCTGCCGAATCACAGACAATATTTCCTGGGATTTGTTTTTTAAGCTCCAGCCAGCAGACTCTTATTAGATAAACTGTCTGGTCTGAGGATGAAAATCTGGGAGCATTTGCTCCCATGCAGAGATTTGGGATTAGATAGAATGGAGAGCTTTGGGATTTAATTGAAACTACAACACAGAAGGGAACCTAAAAGTCCTCAGCAAGGTGGCAGTAATGAAATGTACAATGAAATAGTAAATAGAACTTTGAGGTTTTAAGATAAAAACTTTAAATATGTAAAATATTACATGTAAAATATTGCATTACTTAGTAAAGAGGTAAGGTAATTAGATGCATTGTTATGATATACTTGCATCTGATTGAGGAGAAAATAGCCATTAATGGCCATAAGATTGCATTTTTATGTAACCGAACAAAACAAATGTAGCGGATCAGAACTGAAAGGAGAAATTCCAGAGAAGGATTTCTATTCACCTGCTTGTGCACTAATCAGATTATCATTCAAATGAGTGGGATTTATGGTATCATATACACGTGTGTGTGTGTGTGTGTGTGTGTGTGTGTGTGTGTGTGTGTGTGTGTGTGTGTGTGTGTGTGTGTGTGTGTGTGTGTGTGTGTGTGTGTGTGTGTGTGTGTGTATATATATATATATATATATATATTGACCCCTTGCTGATTTTGCAGGATTGCCCACTTACAAAGAATGCAACGATCTATAATTTTAATCATATGTACATTCTAACAGTGAGAGACAGAATCCCAAAGAAAATTCCAGAAAATCCCATCATATGAATTTATTAAAATTGATAACCATCTGATGAGGAAAAACAAGTATTTGACCCCCTGGACAAACAGAATGTTAATATTTTGTAGAAAAGCCATTATTGGCCAGCACAGATGGCATCTGTCTTTCACTCATATATATATAATAGAATTTTACACATTCAGTAATAAATGTCACGGGGGATGGTCACTTAAGAAAGGATGATTTTTAAGATTTTTTTAAGAAGTCGGATGCCATCCCCCCTCAACTTGAGTACTGATCCTAAGAAGATGTAAGATAAACAGAGTTTTTTTCAGTAACACCGCTGACAGAAAGTCTGAGACTCATATTCTGGTGCCACATAAGGGTTCCTGTAATTTATCTGTTTAAATAAGAAAATCTTGAACTGTTTGGGCATTAAGAGGCATTAAGAGGATGCACTAACTTGAGCTAGAAACAGGACCAGAACACACATGCTAACATTATTTAGCTTCATTTTATTCAAGACACATCAAAAAATGTAGCTCTCACTCTCTGACACTGAAAATGATAGCTAAAAATGCTTTTCTAAATAAAAAGTAAAAGTGAAAGCATTGAAAAAAGTATTTATCTAATTACTTTGGATCAATTGGCAAAGGTGAACCTTTAAGAGAGATGCATTTTCAGCCCAAGTAACCCTGGAAGATCTCTCAAATGATAAGAAACATAAGGGATGTCGGGACATGCATGTTTTTTTATTTTTCCTAAATTCTGTTTTTATTAATAATAATAATAATAATAATAATAATAATAATAATAATAATACATTTTATTTAAAAAGGCGCCTTTCTGGACACTCAAGGTCACCGTACAAAAACATAAAAAGTGTCAGTAAAAATAATAATTAAAAGGACATTTAAAAACATTTAAAAAATACAGAGGCTGTGACAGTGAAATTGATATTTTTAAAGAGAATAAGCAATCTTGAACAGATGGGTTTTGAGTTGCATTTTAAAATGCCATACAAAGGCCATTAGCTAAGGGTATCAGGAATCCCGGAATCAGGTCTAAATACACAATATGCTGCCATGCAGTAAGCCTTTTACTGATGCAAGAGACACAAATGTTTTTGGGATAGGAACTATGAAAGTTAATAAGTGTAAATTTCCTTCCAAACTAGAACTAATCAAAAGTTATTCCTCAGACCAGAGGCTTTGAAATGAAGAGTGGCCCCTGGCTGGGAGCCATCCGACAGCTTGTTCCAATCCTATTGACTGGGATTACCTCAGCCAAGGTTATATCCTAGATGCAGCGTCCACTTAACTCCCTTTCAGCCTCTTATTGGCCGCTCCGGTTGCTAGCTTAGACAGATGTCAGCAGCATGTGTTCAGGTGATCACACATGGATGCTGAAGGATTTTCCTGATGCTATATGCATATTGTTCTATGCACTGTAACCAATGTTATGGTTGTAATAATAATGATGCCAATAGTATGATATAGATAATATTTCAAGGCAAAACATGGCATATAGGGCTAAAGATTTTTATTCCTGTTAAAAAAGATTTTGTTCTCTCAACTCTCAAAACATTCATACCTAGTATGAGTGATTGCTTTAAAGGTAAATAAAAGATGCCCAGCATATTCTTCAGGAGTAAAAGCTGCAGGTTTGTTACCTGATGAAATCATCTGGATAAACCATTCTAAATAATAAACTGGTTACAAACATTAGTTTCTAAAGAACTTGTAAATAAACTGACTTGCTAAAAATCTGTTTTATATCATAGCTGCTCAAAGACAAAATTTTAAGGTCCACAATAAGTCAAATCTCTGTTTATAAGTAATTAAGCCATAAGTGGAGTCTGTCAAGTCAGGTTCAATATAGTTATATTCCGAATAACTCAACATTCTTAGGAAATAAACAAATACATACTCTTACATTTTAACTAAAGCAACCAGCGCCTTCAATGCAGTGTCTGAGAAACAAAGATATCAAGATGATTACATCCACACCAATCTGAGTCAGCACCCTATTACTTTTCATTACGTCCTTTATATAACAGGATAAGGGCTGAAACAATGAATCTGTTTTATAGTGATTGATCCATTATTCAAATAATCATCAACTAATTAATAATAATTCAATTCAGTTTATTTCTATAGTGCCAATTCACATCATGTCATCTCAAGGCACTTTATAGTTCACCAGATCATCCAGTCAAATTGGTTCAAAGTTTCTATCTAAGGAAAACCAGCTGATTGTATCGACTCATTGACTCGAAGGTAATCTGTCACACTAAGCATGCTTGTAGCGACAGTGGAGAGGAAAAACTCCCCTTTAACAGGAAGAAACCTCCAGCAGAACCAGGCTCAGTGTGAGTGGCCATCTGCTGAGGCCGACTGGGGTTCAAGGAGACAGAAGCAGAGATACAAAAGGCAACTGTCAACCAGCTCCACAGGCGCCCCCGTCCACGAACACACAGCCAGGCAGACGAGCTCCGAGCCAGCTCCCATGTCAGAGGATGAAAGAGAGCACATCCAGCCAGTCACAGTCAGAGAAACAGGACTACACTGGAAAACAGGCCGATCTCAAACATCTATAAACAAAGCTGTGTGAACATCAACACACTTCAGTACAACTTAATTAAACCCTATATGTTGAATAACAAAACACTACAATCTAACAAAATCTGCCCAGAGTTGTTTTCCATAAACAACTGTGACCCAGCCACCACAGCGATGTCAGATCCACTAAGTGTCATGTGACACATCACATACCGGTACTAACATGTCTGCAGATGGATTCATAACCATGTAGACTACTCCCTCTTTTTACATTTAGAAGACAAACTAGGATCAGTGCACACTCAGATATGCTAAGCTAATTTTACATAACTGAAATAATGATATTTATTATGGTTGATTTTGAATTCTTACCTTTAATGTTTATTAGATTTTTGGCTGGAACATTGAAAACCTGAACGCTGAACTTTTACTCAGGTGAAGTAAAATACAATCCATTGTGATTTATGATCAGCCCATGGTTGAATGAAATCTCCCCAATAACTGTCGGGGAGGATGGAATGTTGCTGACCTCCATCTATTCCCTGTTAGTCCAGTTCACACATCCATCAAACTTGACAGGATCGGCAGGCCCATGCGATTTCTGGACTTGTCTTTAAGCACAGCAACTTGTGAAAAAGCTCTTTCAACTGGTGCATTTAATATAGATAGAATGAAGAGTTTAATTGCACCAATTGCTAAATCCTGAAAAAAGCGGTTTCCTCCAGCAACTTTAAAAGATTCCTCTTCATACCAGAACGCATCGATTGTGAGTGCGAAGTTTATCACTCCAGATCCACCTGCTGCTAAAACTAGCATAATTTGTGGCGCCACTTAAGTAGTTCTCTATGGTAAACACCCCGGCAGATGACATTAGCCAGTCAGTGATGGAGAAAGGTCACGGATGCTTTGCTATGAACCAGTAATGATGAATGATTGGGGGACGTGTTTTTTAAAGGAAAAGTCCTTTCAGCAAAGAATAATCATTGGATTATTATCTATACCTAAAACCAATCATTTGGTGGTGATTTAATCAATTTGACAATAATTTGTAAAAAAATGAAAAAACTGAATGAAAATGAAAGATTTTCATGGCAATCCCGAGTCTTGGAGCGGCCATTTTTACCCAAATATAGTAACCCCTCCCTCCTGCCATCTTCCGGCAGTGACGTCACGGTGCGGTAAGCCTAGCGCCATTCTCCCCGCTTTACAAGCTAAATCAATGGGAACTACTAGACACATCTGCAATCAACAACAATTATTGAAGATTTCCAGAGGACTTCACCATTGAAATTCACCAGAGCTATAGTGAAACTGACAATGCCCACATACATGGCAGCTGGATGCTGGAATACATCGGGTAAAAGTGAAAAAAAAGAGTTATTTCACCTTTCTGATTCCTGATCCTCCACGGACGGGTTGGTCGTTGGATCGCCAACTTGAAGAGGGAGGATTTGCAATCGAACTTCTGGCCAGAGAAAAAACGCGTAATATGTAGCCAACATTTGGAAGAAGAATGTTTTCAAGATGACTTGGATAATAGCGCGTTGTGACAAACACCAGATACAGCACTGGGACTTGATCAACAGCCGATACCGCAGCATGACGTCACAAACCAGTAGGTGGCAGTAGTGTTCTTTGACAAACATGGATGCCTCCAGTAAAGCACATTCCCATGAAAATTACTCTGAATTAAAGCACTGATCATTTATTGAAAAATATTAAATAATTTCATATTTAAAGTAATTTCAGAAGTTTGAACTGAGTGATCGCATGAAAATTGTTTTTATTTTTATTACTGATGAACGCTAAATTCATTAAATCACAGCAAAAGTATTAGTTTTAATTATAGATAATGAGCCAGTGATTATTCTTGCTGACTGGACTTGTCCTTTAAACCTAAGCATTACAAATATATATCTCACCCCAACCCTGAACTAAACCCAATTCACGGCTGAGCCCTAAACCTAACCCCTTGCAAAATATCTTCTGAGGACCAGGAAAATATCATCACTTTATGGTAAAATAAGAAAATGGTTCTCACTCAGATGGCCAAACAGGAACACAGCCACACATAGCATCTACTATCTTTCTATGCAGCTGTATAAATCTGGGACAAAGTCATCAAATTAAATTTAGGCATTGGCCCTTTTCCCTTCCTACTCATGTTGTTGTCCTCACTCTCATCTGTATAATCATCCACTCTTCTTCCTCTCTTTTAAATTGTCTGCTTTCCATCACCCCCCTTCCCCCACACATAAATCCTTATCACCACAGCTACTTCCACTCGCATCCAATAAGAATCAGTCCATCCTCTCTGGTTTTGTAGATAATCCCCTGATATTTTCCTCTTGCAAAGTTTTTCATGTCCTCAGATACACTTTTCTTTATTTTGTTTTAAAGTAAATAGCTTACATGTTATTGGTACAGATTTTCTCTTTATAGAGATAATTTAATATTCTCCCAGTAACTGCTTTATTAACTGAGGTCAGGTTTATATACAGGTGCTGGTCATAAAATTAGAATATCATGAAAAAGTAGATTGATTTCAGTAATTCCATTTAAAAAGTGAAACTTGTATATTATATTCATACATTACATACAAACTCATATATTTCAGATGTTTATTTTGTTTAATTTTGATGATTACAAATGACAACAAATGAAAATCTCAAATTCATCATATCAGAAAATTAGAATATTACTGAAGACCAATAAAAACAAAGGATTTATAGAAATGTTGGCCAACTGAAAAGTATGAACATGAAAAGTATGAGCATGTACAGCACTCAGTATTTAGTTGGGCCTCCTTTGGCCTGTATTACTGCAGCAATGCGGCGTGGCATGGAGTCGATCAGTCTGTGGCACTGCTCAGGTGTTATGATAGCCCAGGTTGCTCTAATAGTGGCTTTTAGCTCTTCTGAATTGTTGGGTCTGGTGTATTGCATCTTCTTCTTCACAATACCCCATAGATTTTCTATGGGGTTAAGGTCAGGAGAGTTTGCTGGCCAATTAAGAACAGGGATACCATGGTCCTTCAACCAGGTACTGGTAGCTTTGGCACTGTGTGCAGGTGCCAAGTCCTGTTGGAAAATGAAATCTGCATCTCCAAAAAGTTGGTCAGCTGCAGGAAGCATGAAGTGCTCTAAAACTTCCTGGTATGTGGCTGCGTTGACCCTGGACCTCAGAAAACACAATGGACCAACACCAGCAGATGACATGGCACCCCAAACCATCACTGACTGTGGAAACTTTACACTGGACTTCAAGCAACGTGGATGAAGTGCCTCTCTTCTTTTCCTCCAGACTCTGGGACCTTGATTTCCAAAGGAAATGCAAAATTTACTTTCATCAGAGAACATGACTTTGGACCACTCACCAGCAGTCCAGTCCTGTTTCTCTTTAGCCCAGGCAAGACGCTTCTGACGCTGTCTGTGGTTCAAGAGTGGCTTGACACAAGGAATGCGACAGCAGAAACCCATGTCTTTCATACGTCTGTGTGTGGTGGTTCTTGAAGCACTCACTCCAGCTGCAGTCCACTCTTTGTGAATCTCCCCCACATTTTTGAATGGGTTTTGTTTCACAATCCTCTCCAGGGTGCGGTTATCTCTCTTGCTTGTACACTTTTTTCGACCACATCTTTTCCTTCCCTTCGCCTCTCTATTAATGTGCTTGGACACTGAGCTCTGTGAACAGCCAGCCTCTTTAGCGATGACCTTTTGTGTCTTGCCCTCCTTGTGCAAGGTGTCGATGGTCGTCTTTTGGACAACTGTCAAGTCAGCAGTCTTCCCCATGATTGTGTAGCCTATAGAACTAGACTGAAAGACCATTTAAAGGCTTTTGCAGGTGGTTTGAGTTAATTAGCTGATTAGAGTGTGGCACCAGGGGCCATCAATTTTGAACCTTTTCACAATATTCTAATTTTCTGATATGATGAATTTGAGATTTTCATTTGTTGTCATTTGTAATCATCAAAATTAAACAAAATAAACATCTGAAATATATGAGTTTGTATCTAATGTATGAATATAATATACAAGTTTCACTTTTTAAATGGAATTACTGAAATCAATCTACTTTTTCATGATATTCTAATTTTATGACCAGCACCTGTAAATGTTTAACTGGTCTTCCTCTTTCTTTATTCAGGTTCTACCAGCCAAAGGTCTCCAACAGGGACAAAACCAAGGATAACACTTGACCCACACATACGCCTGAAGTCTGATAAGTTAGACTTGGTGAGTGTTATCAACTCAAATCATACGTGAGCCAGATGGATCCTTCCAAACACATTCAACACATTTTATCACTTTACAGCCATGATCCTTCATGCATTTCGTTGTAGGTTTCTGTTATTCAGCAACATAATATAGTAAATTAATGTAAAGTGAATGGAAAATGATCAAACTGTACGTCTGTCCATCCATCACTTGTCAATGTCCACTTACTCATATATATATATTTATATATATGGTGTTAATTAAATAGAAAAGCCACGTATTGCATGTTGAAACATATAAAAGACATTACTACAATGGGTGAAATGACTGTTGCCACAAGCACAGCACAAGATCTGACTGAACTATCACATTTTCCTCTCTACTCGTGAAGAAATCCTCCTCTCTGTCTTGCCACTGTCAGTCAAAAATTATTAAGTTCGTAGGGAAGCCATATTTGAATGTCAAATAATTCTGGCTTAAACATGTATATAAATGTACTCTTTATCAGACCATATTGTCCCAAAATGTATGAATTTTGTATTTTTAACATAACTCCTGTCTTAAAATCTGTGGTTTTTTCCTTATCTTCTGCAGGCCAGTTAGTTCTATGTCAGCCTGAACACCTAAATTCACCCAATCATATATCAACGGTCATCTGTCAATCAATTTTTTTTCGGTTATATCATCTTGATTCATATGTCGCAGCTGATATACGCAACGGTTGTAATAAGAAATGAGAATAATTTCCTTTCCCATTGAGTTGCGTCCCAGTGTTCACGGGGATGGACGTCTGTGTCTTCGGCAGGCGTAGAGCTAACAGAACTGGCAGCGTTGCGAGGCAAGGGCTCAAACATGTACGGCTGGAAGCCTTCTACACCAAACCAAGCTTCTGCCGCCCTGGCGTCCTCTTCCACAACATCTTCTTCCCCGCTTTCCTCCTCTAGATAAAAAATGGATGACGGAGGAGACTCATCCACGACCTCTGACACTAAACTCTCCTCCTCTTGCATGTTTCCGCTGTCCATAGCGTTCCTTGACAGCGTCGTTTCTAAGTCACCAATTTAGTGCCACTTGGTCCCAATGGAATTTCCCATTGGGAACCTGCTAGCACTAAGTTGCTAAGTGGCTTGCAAGATGCTTCCAACAAACCGAGCACAACCAAACTTGCTCTGGAACCTTCCGCCACAACAATCCCGCCCCCTTGATAATCGACCAATCACATTCACTTTATTCACTCGTGTAAAGTTGGCACCACTCGGGAGAAATCGGAACTGCAACGATTGGAACAGCCGCTTCACCTACGACTTTAAGTATGTTTGACTAATCGATTTGATCGTAATCGATCAACCCCCCCCCCCCCCCCCCCCCCCCACCACCCCCGCCCCCACCCCACCACCCCCCTCCGGCTCCATAGACCCCTAAGAAGTTGGGCCTCACTGGAAGTGACGTATTTTGGCAGGGCAGAATATACTGCTGATGAATGTGCACCATACTGACATAATCAGGTGCATTTTAGTGCATATTTAATGCAGTTTAATGAGTACAATCATGAAGTTTGACTTTGCATATTTTACCAATAAATAGGTTTAGCCTCCCTAGTATTCAAAGAGAAACCACCACTGAATGGATGATGACTGGATTAGATGGCTGGATTTAATATATTTATTGCCCACCTCAGTAGGGGTGGTAAATGTTATTTAATCAGATATTAGGTCATATATTTAGTTATATATTGCTTGTGCTTTTATATATCTACTAACTGAGGGGCACAGTAATATTTCAGTATTTACCTGAGGTTTATTAGACTAACAGAAAATGTACAATATGCATTAAAACAAAACTTGACAGGTGCAAAATATTTGGGTACCCTAATCAGTTTATTAAATTCAATACCATTAACTACTTTTCACTGACTTACTGAAACACAAATTTAGTACAGTAACTTCATTAAGATTTTAACTTCATAGCCAGGCGTACCCAATCATGAGAAAATGTATTTAAAGGAATAGTACACCCCAAACATGATTAGCCTTCATTTTCTACTCACCCCCATGCTGAACAACACTCTGGAGTACTTTTTTGATATCTCAAATGCATCTGGAGATCTGGGAGGCTTCTTGCTGTCTGCTGACATTCAAATAATGGAGGTCTATGGTGCCCGAGACAGAAAGGTCCATAAAAGTCCACAAAAAACGTGTCAATATTCCTCCATACTGCTCTTCCAATGTATTCCAAGTGTCCTGAGTGGGTAGCGTCCATAATTTACTCGAAACGAAGTCATTTAGAATGTTTTTAGAGCATAAACAGTAGTGTATAGGATTTCCTAAAAGCGCGTTCACGAGTCTACGGAAACCGGCAGACCAAACCAGATGAAAGTGCGCATTCAGCGTCTGCTCTGCCGATAATGCAAGCGTAGAAGAAGAAATGTGCTGTTTACCTGTGCAAAGAAAGAAACAACGAAAGAAAAATGTCTGAGGACTTCAGTGTTGAGGAAGAGCATGAGTTCTTTGCCGAGCTGAATGCGCACTTTCGTCTGGTTTGGTCTGCCTCGGGCACTATAGACCTCCATTATTTGAATGTCAGCAGACAGCAAGAAGCCTCCCAGATCTCCAGATGCATTTGAGATATCAAAAAAGTACTCCAGAGTGTTGTTCAGCATGGGGGTGAGTAGAAAATGAAGGCTAATCATGTTTTGGGTGTACTAGTCCTTTAAGGTTGCAAGTTATAAGTTATTCTCCTGTTTGAATCTCTTCTGAAGATTCATCATGGGCGCCTCAAAATAACTCTCAAATGATCTGAAAACAAATATTGTTCAACATAGTCGTTCAGGGGAAGGATACAAAAAGTTTTCTCAGAGATTTAAACTGTCATTTTCCACTGTGAGGAACATAGTAAGGAAGTGGAAGATCACAGGGACAGTTCTTGTTAAATCCAGAAGTGGCAGGCCAAGAAAAATATCAGAGAGGCAGAGAAGAAGAATGGTGAGAATGATCAAGGACAACCCACAGACCACCTCCAACCCGCAGACCACCTCCAACCCACAGACCACCTCCAACCCACAGAACACCTCCAACCCACAGACCACCTCCAAAGACGTGCAGCATCATCTTGCTGCAGATGGTGTCACTCTGCATCGTTCAACAATTCAGCGGCCTTTGCACCAGGAGAAGCTGTATGGGAGAGTGATGCGACAGGCTTTTTTACATTTTTTATTTGCTTTTTTGGTCATAAAAAAAGACTTTATGCATGGCGGCAAAAAAATACAGCATTCCAAGAGAAACACTTGGTACCCACTGTAAAATTTGGTAGAGGTTCCATCGTGCTTTGGGGCTGCATTTCCAATGCTGACACTGGGAATCTTGTTAAAGTTGAGGGTTGCATGGATTCTACTCAATATCAGCAGATTCTTGAGAATAATGTTCAAGAATCAGTTATGAGGTTGAATTTATGCCGGGGATGGATATTTCAGCAAGACAATAATCCAAAACGCAGCTTCAAATCTACTCAGGCATTGATGCAGAGTAATAATTACAATGTTCTGGAATGGTGATCCCAGTCCCCAGATATGAATATCATTGAACATCTGTGGGATGATTTAAAGCAGGCTGTCCATGATCGGCGACCATCAGACTTATTGTTTAACTGGAATTGTTTTGGAAAGAAGAATGGTCAAAAATGCCTTCATCCAGGAACTCATTCAAAGCTACAGGAAGCGACTAGAGGCTGTTGTTTTTGCAAAAGGAGGTTCTACTAAATATTAATGTCTCTTTTTTTGCTGAGGTACCCTGTCAAATTTTTTGTTTTAATGTTTACTGCACATTTTCTGTTAGTCCAATAAACCTCAATTCAACACTGAAATGTTACTGTGTCTATCAGTTATTAGATATATCAAACTTAAATAGATTTTGCAAACATCCAAACATTTAGAAATGAAAATAAAGACTTATAGGGGTGCCCACATTTTTTAATATGACTGTACAGCTGAGATAAGTCTCATTGTGATTTTGGTGGCAGTGAAAGTTGAGAAATTATGGAAATGCTTTAGAGGTGTCCTTTATCCTTCGTCTCTGCTTTTTACCGAGAAAGAAGGTCTAATTGTGAAAGGCCTTTGAATTGCCTTGGTTCAACAGCCCTGGCATAGATGCAGCTAGTGAAGTGGGACAAGCATTTAATGTTTTTTGGGGGTTTTCTTCTGAGGCATGAGGTAAAAGCTTTGCTGAAAAATGCAGACTGGCAGTTTTAGATACAGAGCAAAACTAATCTTACAAAATCTGCATCATGTGATAATATTTTATATGAATTTTTAAAAGAAAATTTGTGATTCACCCTAAATGCAGATCACATATCTTCCACTTCAAAAAGAAGCTACATTTATGCGATCATTTGATTAACATTCAGTTAATGAAGAAGAATATAGATAAGCAGCCTTTTCTGGGCAAACCATGACATAAAAGTCTAAGAATTATCTCAGTTATAGCCTTTTCTTACAGTTTTAGCACTTCTGTGTCTCGCCCAACCCTGAGCTGCCTTTATCTTATAATTGACATTTTGTGCACAGACTCACTATCTCTCATTGCTTACTGTGTTATATTTTTACCGTTCATTTATAAATTCTTTTTACAGATCAGCATGTTCTCTCTACTGCACCCACCCCCGCCTGCCCGCCCTCCAGCTACACAACCCTCTGCTTCTCTGCTACTGTCTGCCCTCTTTTCACTTTACTACCAATATTTAGCTTTAATTTTCATTTGTGCAGATGTTACCGCTGTAGATTGACCCTAATCTTCCAATTCATTAGTTTGATTAAAAACAGAAGGGACAGATTAAATACCTAATTTGTAAGAATTTGCTTTGATACTGTGGATCCTTTGCAAAAACAATTTACAACAACATACAAAACAGCTGCAAAAACATTATAGTAGGTAATGAAATGTCTGATATGATGTTTCTTTAATGGTTCATGTGGAATTGCCTGTTTCTACTGTTGATGCATGAAAGCAAAGTGGTTTTTGTAGACTAGATAGATATAGATGATAGATAGATAGATAGATAGATAGATAGATAGATAGATAGATAGATAGATAGATAGATAGATAGATAGATAGATAGATAGATAGATAGATAGATAGATAGATAGATAGATAGATAGATAGATAGATAGATAGATAGATAGATAGATAGATAGATAGATAGATAGATAGATAGATAGATAGATAGATAGATAGATAGATAGATAGATAGATAGATAGATAGATAGATAGAAATTTTCCTTTTCCGTGATATTCTGATTGAAGTATCTGTGACCTAAAACTGCAACACCATGCAGAGGTGTTGCTTGACTGTGAGGCATTGCTCAGGTTCTTTTAATACAGCAGACCCACATAAAGTTCTCTTGTTTTCTCAAAGCTCTTTTCAACTTATTAGCTGCCTTTGCAGATCAGTCAAATTTGTAGAATTATTCCCTTCATTTAAAGAAACGGGAAGTTATGGGCATTCTCTACTAATGTGAGGGCAATTAGAAACAAATAAGAGGAAAAGATTTAATGAAGCTTTTGTATCAAGGCCATGTCTTTGTGACCAGAATAACTTTGGACCTTTGCAGAAAATGTACAAAATCCATATTCACTATTCTTGAAATCTAGCTGCAACTTTTCATTAGTTGTCTGCTGTTGTGCTGATTTCTTCTTGAAATATTCCCTTTGATAAGCAAATATATATATATATTTATATATACATAGAAAAATGGCGCAATATGGAATTAGAGGCATAGTGTTATCATGGATTAAAAGCTATATGGATCACAGAAAGCAATTTGTGCAATTAAATGAAATCAGATCAGACTTACTGGAAATAAAGGGTGGGGTACCGCAAGGCTCGGTGCTGGGACCAATTTTGTTTTTAATGTATGCGAATGACTTGAACAACATCTTAAACATGAAAATTGTATCATTTGCAGTAGATAATCTTAAACAGACACTTGCGCTAGCTACACAAGAATTAATTAAATTGGAAAGATGGTGTGATATAAATAAACTATCGTTAAATTTGAAAAACACTAAGTTCATGATATTTGGAAACATTAAAAAAGTAGTGAAATAAAGTTAAGTATTGATGATGTAGAATTAGAATTAGCTGATTAAATAAAACTTTTAGGTGTCATTTTAGTTAATAATATTAGTTGGAAGGGACATATAAAGCACGTCCGGTCAAAGCTGGCCAGATGTTTGGCTGTTATAAATAAAGCCCGGCACCTTCTAACCAAACAAGCTTTACACACATTATACTGCTCATTGTTTCAGCCCTATCTAACCTATTGATTGCTGAAGTGTGGGGTCACACTAACAAAACAAACATTCAACCATTGATTATTAAGCAAAAGAAGCAATACGAGTAACGAATAACAAGCATTCTAGAGATCACACTCACTGTTTATTCCTTGATTCAAGAATGATCAAATTTGTAGATTTGATCAATTTCAGAACTGCTCAAATTCTTTACAAAGCAAGAAATAACTTACTTCCTGTGCACATACAACAATTGTTTTCTGATAGAGATGGAAAATATAATCTAAGAGGAAAATTAAATTTTAAAACTAAGAATGTTCGAACAACAGAAAGAAGCTTTAATTTATCAATTAGCAGAATAAAGCTCTGGAACAGCTTGCCTGAAAACATTAAACAATGTAAAAGCATCCAGCAATTCAAAAAAGAATATAAGAAAAGTATTTTTGATGAATACAAAAAAGAGTAATATATAAAAAGTTGGTGTACTGTTTGTCTTACTGTAAATAATTGTACTTTACCGCCATGACACATGTAACTGAGGGGTAGGGCCTAATAAGCTTATGCTTCATCCTACTCCTTTTTGAAACATGATGCATGTTTGTGAAGCATTCAATGTAAACATTGCAAAATCATATCATGTGAAATGAATATATATAAAATGTTGTTCCTTTTCTCTCTGTATCAGGCATTGACATTTCTTGGACTGGATGTTAGTGAGGAGAAGAGGAAGATGCTGAGGCATAGCCTGACTCCTGATCCACAAGGCACTGTGGCGTATGGAGGTGAGCCACATGTATGCTCAAATTTACACCATGAAACAAGCCATGCATGCATCCAGGTGTGTCAACGGCAGGGCAGAGATACGTGTGAACATGCTGTCAAATCATAGGCTGGTTGCGATTTCTATTGAGTTGCCTTTCAGTGTCACATTGCGTGGGCCTGATCTGTCTCTCTGAGTCAAAGTGGGCAATCAAAGAGAAGTAGTCACAATAAATGCTACTTTATTTCTTGACTTTACCTGTTATTCTTTAAAAAAAACAATATAGGGTGTATGGATTTAAAAAGAAGAGTCCCTATATGTTTTTACTGGTGCACATATGAGCTTAGCTGCCATGTTTATTTTTATGGGATTTCTCTACGTATCCCATCTTCCCTATACAGTACAGGCTGATTTAGTCACAGGTTTCTGTATTGAGTACCCATCCATGGAAGTCTGTATATGTTTTAAACTCTCTATTACCTGATAAAAAATGTCAACAGCGTTTTTAAGATACAGGAAGCCTCATTCTTCAATTCCTTATTTGTTTTCCTCTCAATGAGGATCTGATTCAGTGAGAAGAAATTTATTGAAATAAACAAAAACTTTAAAACTGCTGTTATCTTAATGTTGTGTGCTTTAGCGATGCATCCATCAGATCAAATCATTGGCAGATTTCCAATCAAGCTTTAAGCTACTAATACTGATCTTGGTTTATTATTAAGGATCATATTCTCAGTAAATTTAAGAACAGCATCTGAACGTTTTCATTAGTTATTTATATTAGGATGATGCAACAGTTGGAAAGAAGTAACTAAAAACATGTTTTACTGTTAATTTAAAACGAAGACAACATTTTGGGCCTGCATGGTGGTGCAGTTTGTAGCAGTATTGTCATCTAGCAAGAAGAATTGCTATTTCAGGGTTTTTCTTAATTTACTTTTTATGTTCTCCCCATGCTTTGTCAGGTAAGTGTTGTGCAATTTTACCAGCAGATTATGAAAATATTAAATGAGTCTTTTACCAAAGGTTGGACTCCTGGACTGGCTATAAGAGTCCAGTTATCTTTCAGTAATTTAGTAATCCAGGCTATGGCTATCAGCAGAATTATTAATCACCAACTGTAGCTTCCCAGCTAATTGATGGTCTGACTCTTTAACTGATGGTTCATATTCCTTTATTTTAGAACGGTCATTGAAGGCACCATCTGAACTCACAGTAAGAGCTATTAGATAGAAAGAAAGAAATAAAACTTCCTTTTCTTTTAGCCCAATGAACAACCGTTTAAACTTAGCAGATTGTAAATAAATACACAAACACATTCTGACCTATTAATAAGACAAACGAGTTAGATTTGTTTCCAAGTTTGAAGATGTTTTAATTCCCATCCAGGAAGCTTTTTTCAATTCAAAATGTCAGAAATAGCATTCTCCAAACTCATGCATTATTCCGAGGGCAGCTTTCACAACCTAAATATTAGGGAATGGATGATTTATGAAAACCGTCCGAACCGTTCGGTTCAACTGTCTCGGTTTCGGTTCGCATGTGTTTCGTTCGGTTCATGCGCTGCTCCTTTTTCTCATAGGCGAAGCGTTTACACTCCAGAGCAGAAGGTGGCGGTACTGTGACCAAAGCCAACCACCAGTAGTAAACAAGAAGAAGAAGAAGCGACGCATCGTAGCCGGATGTAGCAGGGAAAAAAATCAGTTGTTGTGGAGAATTGTGTGGGTATGGCGAGTGGGAAAGAACAGGAGTTGGAAGACGCGCCAGCAGCACTTTATAGGTCTGCTGTATGGGACTGCTTTGCATTTAGAGTGACCTACGATGACAGCGGAAAGAAAGTTGTGGATAAAAGTGCAACAGTGTGTAAGCATTGTGCAACACGTTTTGTTTATGTTAACAGCAACATGACCAACATGTCATGCTAACCCCGAAATCCCTCATACTCCGTCAGAACTCCGCCCCGCTGCGCTCCAGACCGGCTGCTCAAAGCAAAGTCTACAGCCCCCGCTGTGTCTTCGTCTGCTCCCCTCAGAGTTCCTTGGAGATCGTAGAGAGCATGCGCCAGATGATTAAATTCAAAGCAGCAAAACATACGGAAATGATCCAGGGTTTCCGCGGATCATTTAAAATAATTACAATCCATTATTTTTTGGGGGATTTTTTCATTAATTTCATAAATTTTTATGGGATTTCGGTGTAACAATCAACATATACCGAACCGAACCGAAAACCGTGACCACGAAACCGTGAATCGAACCGAACCGTGGATTTTTTGAACCGTTCCACCCCTACTAAATATTATGTTTGATTACATTAAAGGTAATTTAAACCATTCAAAGAATTTTCTCTGTTTCTTTGAATTTTACCCAAACAAGGGTGGATATGACTCTGAGTGATAAAGTCATTCACCGTATAAATGATCAGATGACCATGCGTTAAAACACTGCTACCTTAATTAGCTAATAATCCCTTTAACAGTATTATTGTATCTAATAGCTACAAAAACATCCCACACTACTGAAAATAAGCACAAGATAGTGAAAAGTCAATAAAAGGGGGAGAAAAGGAGTTTAAGAATCCATTTAGATTCAGGAATTAGTCTAAGTTTTAAGGCTTGGTGTACTAATGCATTTAGGAGAGTCCCTTAAATAGCAGCAGATAAATGTAAATAACTGAGACAGAGATCTTAAATGTAAACAGTGAAGCTTCATTTGGTTTAACAGTGATTAATGAACAATGACTCACTGAGCAAAATGCCTAGATAGCACCAGGAAATCAGGCTACGAGGCGTAGTCGAGCTAACAACAAGGGTCATAAAACTTAAAAAATGGCCGCCTCCATGTACAGGTGCTAAAGTTAGGTAGCCTGGTGCTAACAATGCAAGCCAATCCAACTGTAGCAATGCAGATCCTTCAGACAAAAAAATAAATCTACAACCAGAAACAAAATCACTCAGTGGTGATCGTTAAGTCAGGCGCAGTCAACATTAGCATCAGTTCAGAACTCTTACTCAGAAACATCAGTAGATTTAAAAAGCTTCTTTCAGATAAAACACATCATATTTAAAATGATCTATTCTACATCTCCCCCCCCAAGCAGAATACTCATTAAGCATTAGATGAAAAGAGGGGAAAAGGACCTTTAATGCTCAGGGGAAAAGATGGGGACCATGTCTGGTTTGATTCGGTTTAAGCTGGTCGTACACTGAGCGATGATTTCAATCGTTGCACGCAGCTATAACTCAAACTGTATGACGAAACCTCAGGGTTTAAAAGTTTACAGCTCACGATGTGTGTTCTCACACTGTGCGACCCGACGCTCTGATACAATCTACCTGCTTACACTGCATGTCTAAAAAAACACGTCAGACTCAGTGCCGAGAGATGGCACTAATCGGACTGTCAATCTGGAAGAAGAGGAACTCCCTTGTTTGCACATGCGCAGTGATCGAGGCTCTTTAAATCAGCTCATAGCTCTGCTTGAACAGCAGGATTTCTCCACTAACACCTTACGACGGCACACTGGGAGGTTGTGAGAGAAGATTGCCCCTCGTTCCCCCCCTATACTACACAACGCAGGACACATGTTCAGGCTGAAAGTCGGCCCAATTTAAAAAATTCTCGCACGACTGGAGAATCGACCCGAAAAGGGCAAAAAAAACGTATAGTGTATGACTACAGTGTTGCCTCTAGGAACAAAGTCCGCTCTCAGAGAGACTTGAATTATTCTGATGCTAAGCAACAGAGGCGGAGCTGCAGGGCTTCATAGCAGCAGCTCAGACAGGCAGCAGCACAGCTACAAAACAGCAGGACAGTTTGGTGCTTCCAAGCTGCACCTCGGCAAAACAACAGCAGGTCATGGCTGTCCCGTCTGTGAAAGGTGGACCAGCTGAACAACCGAATAGTTCTTATCATCTGCTTCAGCAGGCGGGTTTAAACTTGGTTTGACCTGCAGGAAGAAAGAAATTACATTCGATTCTCTCTGAGTCACAGACAGCATGCAATCTGGTATCGCAGCGAGTGCAGACTCTTCTCCGCCACGAGATGGCTACATGATGCGGCTTCAGCCAAAGACTGGTGGGCCTTGCCTATCAGACAGGGCAAAGTGGAAGGGTAGTCAGCTCCTTAAATAATCCCTGCTGCAGGGAGGTGACGTCAGGGTAGAGTCACTCTCGCTTCTTACACAACAAATCTTCAAAAACAGATTTAATTGACCAACACAGCTGAGTAAAGGCCTAATGTTTTACTCCAGTGCAAAACAAATTATATTGAAAAAACAAAAACAGAAATATAATCATAATCATTATGATTTGCATCTCAGGGCAGAACAACAACAAGCTTGGACTGAAGTAAAACGGACTGATTACCTCTTTAGCTGCCCTTAAGTTTGGTAAAGGCCTGCTAACGAGCCATTCATTAGATTCAGCTGCTGCAATGCCGTGCTAACTGCTCCCTAAGGCATGGGTTAAATAGAGAGCGATTTTTTATTTTATAACGTACGACCGCTGGGACAAATAAAGGTGGTTAATATTATTCCCAGCCAAAAGTTCAGTGTTGCCAAGTGTTTGTAAGAAAACAGCTATTGGTTATCCTAAATGTCATTGAACGCTACATAAATAGCAGCTCTGCAGCTTCTTAAGGTTCTGAGCAACACTAAATATTTCTGTTTTCCATCCTTTAAGTAGGGTCCACTTAAAGGCATAAATATTAGAATAATTAAACGTTTTTTAGTGAAGCATGAATATGAACCCATTTCCAAACGTATAATCCATACGTGCAAAACAAGGAATAAATGTATAATAAAGGGTCTTCTAGTTGGATTACCTCCACAGCCTTTTGAGTTATATTATATTTCTGCTCTCAGACTTTGTGGAAGCTTCCCGGAATATCTTCCAGGAGGACCTAGAGGAGTTGGGATTAGGATCAGATCCCTTCACCTTCTCCTATCATGAAGCAGCCAGTTTGATGGACACATCAGCATTTCATTCTCCTGTAAGTTTCCATAAAAAGAGATGCATGGATTAACATGCTCACAAAAAAAACAGTCTCATGGTGCGTGGACATGACTGTGTTTGTTTCTGCAGACTTATGAGTCAGAGTGCAGCTACAGCAGTGAGGAGATGGAGCAGTTTCAGACTGAGGTGAAGCAACTGCAGACTCAGATAAAGCAGCTTAAGGTGAATTTGCTTTAACCTCAAAACCACCAACCGTCTGATGTTTGATTTAAGTATGTTTGAAAATTTGTTTCTGAAATCATTTTTTTCTCTCACCAGCTTAAAGGTGCTTAGATGCAATAAACAGTTAAAGGACTCACACCCGTCAAACTTTTGTAATTCTTTGTAAAACTATGAGTAGAAACTTTATGTAACAGACCAATGTTTAGTGATCTCTTACTTGAAGGTAAAACTCTGTTTTACTATCAAAAATAAATATTAAAATATTCTTTCCTTAATTGGATAAGATGAAATTGATGCAAACAATACTAGTAAAATATTTCATCTGTGTGCCATTGGTGCATATTTGTAGTTGTTCTGTTTCTTGCTGTAGTGATTTATTAGCAAATAAAGATCATCACAAAGACCAAAGAACCAAGCAGTCAGGGTGAAAGTATCATCTTCTAGAGCTTTGTTTAATCATTTATCAAAACCTGGAGAGAGGATGGACTAACCAAGACATGCCCTTCCAGACAAACTAATAGGCTAAATCAGGAGAGAGTTAATAATAGAAACAATAGAAAAGGGATACAAGTTATTGAATAATTAATTCATTTTAAGTCGATCTAGTCAATAACAATTAATTGAAAACAGTCTTTTTTATTTTTTATTTTGTTTAACTAACCCGGTCCAGACTCTGGATCAGTTTATGTTTCCACTGATCTAGTTATTCACTGGATTGCTGATAGTCTATATATATATATATATATATATATATATATATATATATATATATATATATATATATATATATATATATGGGAGTAGGGAGTACCAGCTTGGCGGACGATGGCTTCACTATTTTCGGGCAATCAGCAATCTAGTGGATAAATAGGGATCAGTGGCTCCAGCATGCCTCCCTCTGCTCTGAAAGTAGCTTTCTTGCAAATACTAGCTTAAGAATAAACAGTGGCACCCTCTAGTGGACAATGATCACACTACAATACAGTGGTTAAAATCTTATCTAGATTTAGATTTTTTCCAGTGTAAGTGTTTGTACACAAGCACTGGATATAAAATCAGACTGAATTTCACTGGTTTGTCTTGAATAAATAACTTTCTTTCTTTTACCTCCCAGTTTATAATAAAGCTCTACTGCAGTGGGTCCCAGCCTGCCCTTTCAGGCCTACCCTTAACTGTTTTAGCCTAAATGAATGGAGGGAAACTTCTGTTTCAGATGGAAAAGAAGAACATTGGTGTACTGATTTGCTTCTTTTCTCGACAGGTAATCCTAAAAGACATGGAACAAAGCAAAAAAGGTCTAGAGGAGGAGCTGCAGAAGACCTCAGAGGTGAGACAGCAGATAAGAAACTTCATATACTTCCAAACCTATCAGTCCGTCTAGTTTCCCCAGAAATAAATATTGAAAAACCCTTAGAGTTAAAAGATACAACATCTAACACATTAACACTATCTGAAGCAAAAGAGAAAGGGATGGGTCTACTCAGTAATAGAGAAAAAAAGGGAAAGTGAGCATCCTTCCTGCCTGCAAAGGCTTCTGGGATCATGGAGAGTAAAGTATTCCCATCCCCCAACGCTGTAATAACCAACCAAGTCAACATGTTAATCCTTCTGTTCATATTAAGAAGGCAAAGAGCATTCATCAACTCAACTTTACTTATAAAGCCCTTTAAAACAACCACAGCTGACAAAGTGCTATACATATCAGTTAAAATTGTATATAAAAACCATAAAAGTTTAAAAGATTTAAAAATATGCAATAAAATGTATTAATTAAAACAAATAAAACCAAATAAAAAACAATATACCTAACCATAATAGTAAAAACATAGTTTCATGATGTGTTAAAAGCCAAAAAAAAAAGGTTTTAAGACAGGTTTTTGAAAACAGACAGACTGTGATGCGGGGGGGGGCAACTGAAAAAACTCCATATCCTCTGAGATTCCAGGAGCAGCAGGTCAAAAGTACTGCACTAACACCTGACCTATTTGTTGTTGTATAAAGAGAGAATTGAAATGAAGTCTTTGAAGCTAATCAGAATAGAGAAAGTGTAATTCTTTTTTATAACATACTGAGATTGGGACGAGGTAATCAAACTAGAATTATTAGTGAATTATAGTTCACATCGTTTTTGCAACCTGAATATGGATGTAATTATTGATACTTTGATTACTAAGCCTGGAGGCCAGGGTGTAGGTGACAGAGTACAAGTAAGACAGTGTTTTAGCCGGGCATACACTGTGCAATATTTCCAATCGTTTTATGTAGCTAAAGCTCACACTGTACGACCAAACCCTGTGGTTTTGAAACCAGAAAAAGAAAAGGCAATGACATATTTTGACATAGACATGGCTGAGCAAACGTGGCTACTAAAGTCTGTTAATTTCACAGAAAGAACTCCATTTCACTCATTGCACCCCTGCTATGCTTCTGTGTTTTCGTCTGAGAGGAAGAATAGGAATCCTTTTTTGCCCACTGAGCGATTTGCCCACAACCACCTTCCGACGGCCGACTGAATTTCAAACATGTTTAATTTTCTCCCAACCTTACAATTTCCTGATCGGGAGGTGGTTGTGAGATGCTGGTCTGTGACAGGTTAAAATTATTAAAATATTTTAAAAGTCGTCCATACAGGAATTAAAACCTACAGGTTTAAAAGATTGTTATTTCAGTTATAAACGAGAGTTAAAAATAATTCATATTTCATAATGACAATTTTGTTATGATTGTTTAAAAGTAGTGGTAATACAGTACTAAGAGTATTAATACTATGTACACTATTTACAATTTCTTAAGAGTTCGATGGTTTGTAGATCGATTGCTTCTGTCCAGCAGAGACCTGTGTTTTGCGCTTGCACAGAAAAGTTTTGGTGTTCTTTTGAATAAAGTGAAAGTGAGTAAAGACGTCCGCAGCATCTCCATTATTCATTTTAACCCAAAAGCAACCACGTACCTCTCCCAAGTTATCGGAGCAGAGGGTGCAACAGGTCAACCCTTGTTACCCCCTGTACACAACATACCGCACCATCAGGCTGAAAGTCGGCCCGATTGAAAAATTCTCGCACGGCTGCAGAATCGGCCCAAAAAGGGCAAAAAAACTCGTACAGTGGATGCCCAGCTTTAGGAAATATTGGGTGCAGAGCAACTCTGACCCATTATTGGTGCTCATCCTCCTCTGAACTTGACCAACCCATGTTACATACATGCTCCACAGCCTCCTCTGAACCATGAAGTCTGTTTTACAAACAAACCTCTCAGGGTTTAAGCAAGGACAGATTCTTATTGGCCAATAAAGCCAATAAGAATCTTTTATGGCTGGAGATGTTCTCTGGCATCTTATTGGCTGAGAAAAGGTTCCCACAGTCACAATGCACTTGAAGTGGAGACATAAGAAGAGCGGTGTCCTGCTACACTTTTATTAGTTTCTCCATCGTAAGGGCCTAGTAGGAAGAAAACAGGAAATTCTGGTCCATTTTTTGTGATTTCAATAAGCTAAGCCCATAGTGTCCTTCTTGTTTTGTTTTTTTGTTTTCCAAATTAAAGGGTCAAAAATCCAGCGGAATATACAAGTGAAGAATTATTCCTGATTCTGGCCACAGTGGAGCCAAAGTCTGATTCTTTGAAGGAAAATGCCTAATGGGTTTCCCAGAGGTTTGCTGGTCATGCATCGAAGGAATTGTCCATTTATTTTTCCTATTGGATTTATATTCCTAATTCTTGCCTTTATTTGCTGTTAGAATCTTGGAGGTTATTGACTGTTTTTTCTTGGTGGATTTGTGTTCCTGTTTCCATGTGGATCATTGATTTCTGTATTAGATTTTTTATTTTGAATTATGCTTCATTTTGCTTTGCTGATCCCATACTTATCAATATAATCTGTTCTGACTCTTGAAGGAGGCTGTCCTGCTGCTCCTGCAACTCCCTGCTGTCCCTGCTTTGCTGTGTCGTGTCTTGTCTTTTCTGAGCTTTCTCTTCATATCACCCGAATTCAAACAATGGATCTGGTCAGATGGTCTCACAATGCAATTGATCAAAATTCCTGAACTGGAAGACAGGGAAAGGGGACTTTGGGGGATACACCTTGGAGTCCTGGAATGCTTGGTGTTGTTTACAATCTTGTCAGTGGAGGATGTGGAAGACGCATGGATTTTTGGATTTATGATACTCGGGTTTCCCACTCAGGCACTCACCCATACACACACAACTGATGCCCAAATGTCAGATTGACTTTCATTTGGCTTCAGTCTGCAACATTTTCCTTCTGCTAAAATGTTTGTCTCGTGTCACATGAGGTGTTTTTTCAAACTGTATCCTGTTAAGGATAAAGTTTGCAATATGTTTTTTTTTCCTCTCCCTCCCCAATGTGGCTCCTATCTTTCCAGAGAGATAAGGGCAGCGTAATAATGGTGGTGCCCTTGGCAGCTGTAAGAATGCGCCAGCGGCAATTATCGGAAAGTGTGGACATTCAATTTTTGAGTGATCTTCTTTGATAAGTCCTCTGACGGTTTGAAAAATATGTGTGTGAGGTACTATATTGAATAACTGAGGTCTTCACAGGCTGCCTGTAGCCATACCTATTAAAACAACACCCTTGGGACTTATTAGTCACTAAAACCAAATGAGCTAAATTACCATTGCTGATGAAGGTTCTCAGTCATCCAGGTCATAGTCATTCCGTAAAAATTCAAAAAATATCCACTGGACTTGGTTTTCAAGATTTGAAGACGTTTCGCCACCTCTCCAAGAAGCTTTCTCAATTCAAATGTCTGGATCCGCAGTGAGTTAAATCACTGCGGTCAAATGTCTGGATCACTGCGGATCCAGACATTTGAATTGAGAAAGCTTCTTGGAGAGGTGGCGAAACGTCTTCAAATCTTGAAAACCAAGTCCAGTGGATATTTTTTGAATTTTTACGGAATAAATTACCATTGTTTGTGCTGGGGCTGCCGTAACCAAGGCTATAGGTGGGTAACAGAGGGTTTGTGGCTGCTAACCAGGGTCACACCCTTTTCGGCCACCCAGGTAGATTTCACAGAGGCTCTAAAACAGGGTAATAATCAGTCAGTCTATGAACCTGTGTTGGTTTCTGAGCTGATGTCATGATTTTACTAAAGTTCAGAACCAAATGCAGAAGACCAAACAGGGAGACCAGGGAAAAGGTTTAACAGGTTTATTAGGAAATTGTGAGGAATCCAGTGTTGCTTTGAACACTGCTCAACCGGAACTGAAAAGTGAGGGGAAGACACAGCGGTTAGTTCAGGCTCAGTGGGAAATTTGATTCATGAACTTGAAGAGGAGGATTTGGTAGCTGACTCACGTTTCCTGAGAAGTTGTTGACTCTTTGACTCCAGTCTGTGTGCTGTTGTTCCAGTGTTTGTCTCTGTCGATGGAGGGCGGAACAGGGTTTACCCAGAATGCGGCTGCTTGTAGGTGAACGGAGAAAGCTGACTGCCACTCAGATTTCCTGCGGTACTTGAACGGGTCGTAGTGGAGATGAATCCCTTGCTCAGTGTGAAGCTCAAACAATCTCTTGGGAGAAAGGTTGATTCAAACCTCCAGTTTAAATCCTTAGCTCAGTTTGAAGCTCAGATGATTCTTCCAGGGAGAGAAGGTCAAAAAAAATTTGTTTGCTGGATGACTTCCTGCCGAGAGGCAAAGACAAAAAACAATGTTAAAACTCAGGTTGAGAAAAACTCAGTTTGACTCAGCAAAACTCGGCTTGGCTAGAGTACCCAAAACTGGCAAAAACTCTGGCCTCGATGTAGTGGCAGTCAGCAGCTTAAGAACACTCCGTTAACAAGGTAACCATCAGCAGGTGTGTGAGGAGGCGGACCAGAACCAGGCACCTCCTGGTGGAGGAAGGGAGACAAACACAGAAACACAAACACAAAGACAGGAGTCCTGACAGCTGAGACTCATAAGGAAGGGGTGAGGCTCAGCTCTGAAAAACAACGCGTCTTACAGCAAATATTAATTATGTTGCTAGGTAAATTTTTAGCTAGCTACCTCTGATATGTTCGAACAACACTTAAAAATCCTAACTGCAGCTCCTTGTTTTGAACTTTACAGAAAGCCTGTTTGACTGTGGAGGAGAACACCCGTCTGAAGAGTCGTCTGCAGGCAGCTGAGGCTGGGGCGGTGCAGCGACAGGCCACCACCGCTGAGCAGGACTATGAGGAAGTTATCCAACTGCTGGAGGCTGAGATCAGAGACCTGAAGAACCAGCTAGCCTCCAAGAGGCAAGCCTCTGGAGGAGAGGTGAAAGTAAGTCTAAGGCTGAATCCCAAACCGCCCCTTAACTATCAAAATCAAGTCAGACTCATAACTGTGGAGGGCAACCGGATTGTACGTAGGGGATATAAACGTGAAAGGGACGGCCTCTTCCCTCCAATGGAAAGGCAAAGCAGTTGTTCCTATGGCAACAGAGTGAAGCTGTATGTGCGTGGCTGGAGCTCTGTGGTGCAGGTTGACATAACAGCAAACATTCGCCATTTCCTTCAAAATAAATCTAACCATGCAAATCAAACTATTACAAAGAGGAACTTCCGTTTAGAGATTAATTACATCTTTTGACTTTGTCCTAACATGTGATTTTCTGTCAGTGCTACGAAGATGCAGAAACAGCGGAACTTACATTTGAATACACATGCTTCCTCCGCCACTAGTTCACCGTTACACTCGCTGCCAAATTCCAGGAAGCCTGCAATGATGCAGACTCACTATTTAAGAGCTGGACGGTCCAATGGGCCTGCCCACTACAGGATTTGGGTTGGCACTTGTGCAGAACCTTCCGCAGTAACCCGCAAACGAGGGTTAGTGCTTAGGGTTTAGCCTAAAGATTACATTTTTCGGACTCCCACTAAAGCAGCCATTCAAAATGGTCCTTCTCAGTGAAAAGCCAGCCGAATGGCAGCAAAATCCTCATGGGCGTGCATATTTTTTACTCTGGCTCCACCCTTTCACTGAATTACAGGGTCTGACTAGGAGATAACTCTTCTCTTTAGATCTTAATTTCCACAAATCATGACAGAAAGAATATTTTAGATGTATAGAAATGAATTGTAGGGGACTAGCCAAGGGCCAGTCAAGGAAAGTGGGGAAATTTTCAATGGCTACTACTGTACTTTCAGTCCTTCATGTTAGGAGGGATAATGAAACATGCTATTGACTTCAAGCCTTTGGTTTATAAATGCACTAGTAAATCAGAGGTCTTTTAATCATCAATTCATTTAATTAAGGTTTATGGATGTAAGAGAACACCTAAAACACGCTGGACAATGGCCCCAGAGGACCAGGGTTGAAGACCTCTGCTCTACAAGATTTCCTCACAAGTGTGCTCCTTTCCTAGCATAAACTCTCTAATTCAGCATTAGGTGTTTTTTTCCACAGCTTTTCATGGAAAACCTTTTTGTTTGAACTTTCAAATTCATCCTTTTTCCCAAATGGCCAAGTCTTCTTTCAAAGCATGTGCATACTAATGGCTGTTTTTATGCATCCATGATGAACACATCATCTGTATACACAGTGGCTCCTAGATTTCCCTGGTGATCCATTACACTAAATGAAAACAACATAATTTTTAAATTAGAGATTGATTGGTGAGCCTAGATTTATTTGTTTTACTTTAGCACTCCTCAGTGGTTGATCGGAACACTTGAAGATGCACCCAAGAGCATTTGGTGAGAGGAAGGGTCAGCGATATAAACTAACAAGGATGACAAAGACAAAGGAAGAAGATATATAACCTCCAGGATGACACTGCTGATTTCCTAACCTTGGGGGAAAGCATCTGGCCGATGATGCCACAGCAGATAGGGGTAATCCCATGCAGACAATTCTTTTTAGATCGGAGTTGCAAGGCCACCTCACAAGGCTAACAGATCCGATCCAATAATTCAGTGCATGGTCAGGGAAAAGCTATGGATCAGAGTCATATAGGCAAATCAAAAAAGATGCGTCCTGATGATTAAATCCAGAGTACCTTACCAGGAAGCAAAGGCAAGAGCGAATCAAGGAAAGTCAAAATGAGAGTTATGAGACTGAACTTCCAACGTTCTGTTTGTTGAGGAGTCAATGAAGCCGGAAGTCGTATAACCTCTTATACTGTATCTCAATTCATTTGCTAGACTAGCTCTACGAAAACTGATGATTTTGTCATTTTCTTCATGGTTCCTCTTCTTCTGGCCTCTCTGGTTTGGTTGGCCAAGTCTAGCTTATTTTGTTGTCATTTGGGTTTCACCCAGTGATTTTTTTCTTTTCTTTTTTTACAGCAGCACATATACACATTTCTAGAAAGTAATTTTATAGAGAAACAATTTATAGTTTATATTTGATCTTTTTTTCAATTGGAAAAGATTGTTTTCTTTTTTGGGTGTGGGGTTGCACACCTACGCTGCATTGTGCTTCTTCATTGATCACTTTTCATCCTTCCTGACACTTATCTGCATGAACGTCACTGATTTTCTAAAGGAGGGTTAATTTACTTGCCTTAATTGGACCTCAGCTCTTCCATAAAACAGCTCCAATCATGCTGTTATTGTTCTCCAGACACTCTCCATGGGCCTGCAGATTTTAGTCAGTCGGCTATAGCTGGGTGGGGAGGGTCCATTCTACTTCTTTTTTATATTTAGAACAATCCAATTACTGTGGATATAGTAATAAGAATGGAAAAATGGGCGAGATTTCAAGAGCCTGAATAATTTTGATACTTTTCTTGAAATTAAGACACATTAATCAAAGCTTATCATTTAAATTATATTTTTGTACTTAGTCCATTGAGACTCATTGAGTCAATGAGTCGCTTCAATAACTTGTTTTCCTCAAGGTAGAAAATTATTGAATCAATTTGACTTGGATGACTTGGTGAACTGTAAAGTGCCTTGAGATTATGTGTTGTGAATCGTGTTGTGCTAAATAAATAAACTGAATTGAAAATTTCTAGTTAATGTAGATATTTTTCGCCAAAGTACATTAAGAAATGTTTCAGTGTAATAAGAACAGAGCTCGCTCTCTTTTCCTAGGCTATAACAGTCCATTCTTCTGGCTTTTTTTAAACCTGTGGAATTTAACCCTTTTATTATTTATTTATTAATTAAGGACACAGTCAGGGCTTGACCAACAACCCTCCAGTTGCAGGGCAAGCTGCAAAAGTTAAAATTTTGTTTAACGCACCTTGAGAGATAGTGACAACAACGGTGATCAGTCCATCCATCACTCTCATCCCAAGCAGTGTCTATCTCCAGCTGTCTACGGACGAGAGGCGGGGTCCACCCTGGACAGGTCGCCAGTCCATGTCATCTCAAGGCACTTTACAGTTCAAACAGATCATACAGTCAAATTGATCTAAGGAAAACCAGTTGATTGCATCGACTCATTGACTCAAATACAATCCCTCACACTAAGCATGCTTGTAGCAACAGTGGAGAGGAAAAACTCCCTTTTAACAGGAAGAAACCTCCAGCAGAACCAGGCTCAGTGTGAGCGGCCATCTGCTGAGGCCCACTGGGGTTCAAGGAGACAGAAGCAGAGACACAAAAAGCAGCTGTAAAAGGCGGCGCCGTCCAGGAAACACACAGCCAGGCAGACGAGCTCCGAGCCAGCTCCCATGCCAGAGGACGAAGAGAGCACATCCAGCCAGTCATGGTCAGAGAAACAGGACTACACTGGAAAACAGCCCGATCTCCAGCATCTATAAACAAGGGTGTTGATGGAAGCAGCACAGCTGATGTTTCTCTCCAGGATGGCGTCACAGTCTAACAAACAAAGTTGTCTGATATTTGATAAGGGCAGAAAGATAATTTGCTTTAACGATGTTCAAGGACTCTGATTAACATTGCCAAATGATACCAAGTGTTTGTGTTTTTCAGGAGGAAGTGGTGGAGCTCAGCAAGAAGCTTACCAATGTTGACTCCCAGCTGAGGAAGTCAGAGAGGAGCAGAAAACATCTGGAGATCTCCAACAATAAGCTCCTAGGCTTTGCTCAGGTATGACTGCTGTCAAACAAAGCGTCTCTTCCTTTTGTTAAAAAATAAATGCTCATTTAATCAATGCTGCTGTGCAACATTTAACATAACATCAGCCATAAGTTATAATATGCAGACCTTTTGTTTATCAAATTATTGTTGTGAGCTTGTCCTGGTAAGAGAAGACCAACTTAGACCTGATGCTTTGCTGTATTCAATGTAGCTTTTAATTCAGCTGATTACAAGGTAAGCAGATCCAGAACCAGCCTGCCCCCTAGTGTACATCACTGGTACGGGAAGCCGCTGTAACATGAAAACCAGAATACAGAACAATGACTGCAAAACAGCCAACTTTTAAATCAGAGCATGCATTTGATTTAACCAGTAGGAGAAGTTGACTTTATTGAAGATTAATGCAGGACCACCTTTAACTTTGTCTGTTCTGGTCCTGTTACTGCTACGCTTCCTTATTTATGAATTTGGTTTACTCTTTCAACAGAATGTCCACAAGGTGCTGACGACACCCAGTCTTTTTGGAGGGGAGGGCGGGTAAGAATATTCAGATCACCATCTAGCCTTTGAGAAATGCTCCGGTGTTCTGTCAGATGAGCATACCTGGTCAGACCTGCAAACCCAGAGTCAATAGCCCTTCATTCCCTTTTAGTTTTGTATGAAAAATAGACTTAAACTATTTAATTACTTGCTTTTTGGTGTTATTTTGAAGTGTATGGCGATCTGACCTTAAATAGTTTTTTTTCTACATGACTAAAGGTATACATTAACCTGACTCCGCCAGAAGGATATGCTGGATTTGCTCCGCATATCCATCTGGAAACCTTCCGTTGAAGTAATTTTGGGAAGGGGCGAAAATACTGGTTAGCTGATTGGCCTATGTTGGTGATAGACGGGCCAAATAAACCAATCAGATCAACGAAGCATATGACGTACTAACAGAGCGACGACGAAAACACAACCACATGCCAGGCACAAGCCAATTGATAGATCAAACTCTTGCTGAAACCAGTCGGGAGAAGAGCAAAAACATCTTTTCCTCTGAGAAAAGCCTCCAGAGCAGTGTTTTGCTCTTCTTTCAGTGAAGAAATACTCTGTAATTCCGATAAAACTTGCTCGATAGCCACGCTAACGCTAGTTTCATCGGCTGAAGCCGCCATGTTCTTTAGACTGAACTGTCGCGCTTCTCGTTGCGTCACACCTCAACCCGCCTCAAAGCCAACGCTGATTGGACGTTCGTTTGGTGAACGGCTCCAAATTTTTTTTTACGGAAAGTAGCCAGACTGATCTTGAAGTCTAAAGTCGTACAAAACTGAAGAGATAATTGCAAATCTGATGTCTTGTGCATGCGTATTGACTATGGGCTGCTGGTCTGACGAAGTATGTTCATCTGACAGAACACCGGCTCCAATCTTCTGTATCATGTGTTCTTTCTGCTTCAGGAGCAACAGGTTATCTACAATCACAGATGGATCTGACACCCCGTCAGCTCTTCCTGATCCTGCCTTCCAGCTGGCTGTAGAGGCGAAGGAGCTGGTGGAGGGGGTGTGCTCTGTCACTGCAGATAAAGGTAAAGAGTTATCTGAACTAAAACACAGTACTGTTCAACCTATAAGGAAGTCCAACAATTATTTTTCCATAAAGCTGTTTAGGATCACAGATCCCCATGTCAATATTCAAAATATAATCCTAAAATACACAAGTATAAGAACAGCTGAGTTCACCGAGGGCTACAAAGCAGAGATGGTGTCTCAGTGGGGAACTCAGAGTCTGGCGGCAATGCATTAGGCTGGTAGTTTGAAGACTTGGGAGACCACCACCCTGAGCACGGATGTAAAAGCTTTTCACCTCCACTGCAAAAAGTGTCCAGCTAACCAAGTATTACAGTCTTAGATTTCTCATGCTGCATTCACACCAGAAGCATTTTAAGCATCAAAAACACTCAAACGCAGGAATTTAGACGCTGGTCAAGTTGCTTTGAAACTTCAAGGCTCTGGATGCTCGACTCTCTGCTTGTTTATCTGCGCTGTTCTGTAGCTTCAAGCTAGAGAGCAGCTTGGCTTTATTTACTTTGAGTCGGAAAAATAGTTTTGACACATTTTTAAGCGAGAAAGTCCACCTCCAACTATCCTCTGTTCATCAGTTCATCGGGATTATGATGCTATAAAAGTATGGAGTTCTTGTTAGGAGCGCCAGACCTCCAGCATACCGCCGGGAGGCAGCGCTGGAAATCCCCGCTGAAAGCTATCTGCAGCGGCCAGCCTGTGGGGGATTTCCCGCTGCCGTTTGTTGAGGCTGGAAGTGAATAGAACGAGTTTTTAAGGTTTGTGGTAAAAACTTGAAGTAACAGAAAATACAATCAAGTGTTTTTCGTTGGCAGGTTTTAACAGTTTTAGTTAATCTGGGTTTTATAAACTGTTTCTCAATAGTAAAAAAAAAATGAAGTAATAATGATCAGAGCTGCTCTCTGTTCCTTCTATATAACGATTCATTCTTCCGACTTTTTTTTTACCTTTGGAGTTTAACTCCCTTGATATTTATTTATTATTTATATGCAGACAGCTCTGCAGAAGCAATGACAGCTTGCAGGTAGTGTTTGTCTCCGCCCAGAAACTCCTGTTTCAGCTTTTCTGATTGGTTGACGCTCTGGCGTCCAGCATTTTCTGACCTCCAGTGTGAAACGCTCAGAAGCCAGAATGTTTGGACGCCCTGCTGGACCTTTAGTCAACGTTCTCCATAGACTTTGCATGTAAATCAGCAGTTTTGATGCCCAGAACACGCCCGGTCTGAACGCAGCAGAAGATTTCTTGTTTTGATATCATGATTTATAGAAGTTACCATGTGCAATTGTCTTACTGCACTGGAAGATAATTGTACTAATTTAAGTTTTAATGGAGCTTAGGCGGAAGTTCAGTTGAACAAACTCATTCTTCACCCTTACAGCCTCATATACAGGTGCTGGTCATAAAATTAGAATATCATGAAAAAGTTGATTGATTTCAGTAATTCCATTTAAAAAGTGAAACTTGTATATTATATTCATACATTACATACAAACTCATATATTTCAGATGTTTATTTTGTTTAATTTTGATGATTACAAATGACAACAAATGAAAATCTCAAATTCATCATATCAGAAAATTAGAATATTACTGAAGACCAATAAAAACAAAGGATTTATAGAAATGTTGGCCAACTGAAAAGTATGAACATGAAAAGTATGAGCATGTACAGCACTCAGTATTTAGTTGGGCCTCCTTTGGCCTGTATTACTGCAGCAATGCGGCATGGCATGGAGTCGATCAGTCTGTGGCACTGCTCAGGTGTTATGATAGCCCAGGTTGCTCTAATAGTGGCTTTTAGCTCTTCTGAATTGTTGGGTCTGGTGTATTGCATCTTCTTCTTCACAATACCCCATAGATTTTCTATGGGGTTAAGGTCAGGAGAGTTTGCTGGCCAATTAAGAACAGGGATACCATGGTCCTTCAACCAGGTACTGGTAGCTTTGGCACTGTGTGCAGGTGCCAAGTCCTGTTGGAAAATGAAATCTGCATCTCCAAAAAGTTGGTCAGCTGCAGGAAGCATGAAGTGCTCTAAAACTTCCTGGTATGTGGCTGCGTTGACCCTGGACCTCAGAAAACACAATGGACCAACACCAGCAGATGACATGGCACCCCAAACCATCACTGACTGTGGAAACTTTACACTGGACTTCAAGCAACGTGGATGAAGCGCCTCTCTTCTTTTCCTCCAGACTCTGGGACCTTGATTTCCAAAGGAAATGCAAAATTTACTTTCATCAGAAAACATGACTTTGGACCACTCACCAGCAGTCCAGTCCTGTTTCTCTTTAGCCCAGGCAAGACGCTTCTGACGCTGTCTGTGGTTCAAGAGTGGCTTGACACAAGGAATGCGACAGCAGAAACCCATGTCTTTCATACGTCTGTGTGTGGTGGTTCTTGAAGCACTCACTCCAGCTGCAGTCCACTCTTTGTGAATCTCCCCCACATTTTTGAATGGGTTTTGTTTCACAATCCTCTCCAGGGTGCGGTTATCTCTCTTGCTTGTACACTTTTTTCGACCACATCTTTTCCTTCCCTTCGCCTCTCTATTAATGTGCTTGGACACTGAGCTCTGTGAACAGCCAGCCTCTTTAGCGATGACCTTTTGTGTCTTGCCCTCCTTGTGCAAGGTGTCGATGGTCGTCTTTTGGACAACTGTCAAGTCAGCAGTCTTCCCCATGATTGTGTAGCCTATAGAACTAGACTGAAAGACCATTTAAAGGCTTTTGCAGGTGGTTTGAGTTAATTAGCTGATTAGAGTGTGGCACCAGGGGCCATCAATTTTGAACCTTTTCACAATATTCTAATTTTCTGATATGATGAATTTGAGATTTTCATTTGTTGTCATTTGTAATCATCAAAATTAAACAAAATAAACATCTGAAATATATGAGTTTGTATGTAATGTATGAATATAATATACAAGTTTCACTTTTTAAATGAAATTACTGAAATCAATCAACTTTTTCATGATATTCTAATTTTATGACCAGCACCTGTACAGGCCAATCAGCTTTGAACCTCACCTCCACTAAATCCAATCAGCATAGAGTTCATCTCCAAATCCACATCTCAGTCTGCTACCAAAGTGCAGGCAGTGGTTTCGCTATGTCAGACTTTGACTCAGACGACCCTGATTCAACCCACCTCCATCCCCTTCTCCACCATCGTAGCTAAAGCTTCATCAGAGTGTCATTCCTCCCAGACACTTACTTCGTTGCCTGTCTCATCTAAACTGGTCAGGCAGAAGACCACTATGTTGAGCCTAACTCTGTCTTTGGAGTTTATCGCCTCTGGAAAAATTTCAAAGGGGAGTTTTTCCTCTCCACTGTCACTTCATGCTTGTCCTTCATGGACAGTTTCATGCAACCTTTGTTATCAAAGCTGGGACTCCATCTTCAGGTCTCCTAGTCAAGCACTAGTATCAGCGCAAGCAGTCCTCTGGATCTCTCCATACAGCAGTCATGGACTGACCTACTTCATCCATCTCCACTCCTACACCAGTTTCAGGCCTGGGGGGGTAATCCGTTTTCTGTACTCCTGTTCATGCATGCCAAAGCGAAATTCAGCGCTAATGTTTCCTGCCGAGGTCTGAGTGCCAAAGAGTAAAGTAATAGTGTCTATAAAATACTTCTAATTTTCTTTTCTTTCTCTGAGTTTTTCAGATTGAAAAAGAAGAATGTGCTCTTGCTTATTATATAGATCTCAAAACTAGATTGTAGACTTTTTGGGATGATCTAAGATTCAAAGACTTGGTAACATGGACACGTTTCTCAGCGCAAGTGGAGTGGGTTGGTTCTGGTCCTCCTGCCTCTAAAGTTTTGCTGCGAGACACCTAAAGTATTTATTTTTAGTCTTATCTTCTTTTAAAAAAGGAAAAGTCTGATCATGAAAAATTAAAGTTTAACTGCAAACCCCTCTTTTTTTAAATAGAAAAACCGAGATCAGCCGTGATGTCATCAATGTATATAGATCCATCAATTCAAATTTCAGATACTTGTTTTGCATATACATCATGTCTGATTATCTTATTTTTTTTTTTATTATTTTAATGGCAGTGACACTTTGAGTTAACAAGCTGAACATGCAATAAAATTGTATTTATTGTCTGAACATCAAGCAGGTATATTTATTTTAGATATTGCCATAAAGTTCTGGTCTGTGCTTTGCCTGCAGCATCTGATGCCGCTTCGGATGTCAATTTGCATCATGTATGAGCTTCAGAGGGACAGAAGAAGATCCTGCTCCATCACCAAAGAGGCCCACTGAGACCAAACCAACGGCGCTCTTCACCAGTCAACATGTCCACAGGATATGGCGCCACTTTAGCAAACAGTACTGCTTCAGCCAGTGCAGACCACCCAGTAAACAGAGACCGATGGCTTCTCTGAGCAGACCCCCGCTTGCATATCAATTAGAGACTGCGGCTGAAGTTTTCCCCAGCACCTGAGCAGCAAACAATACTGTTCCTAATGCAGCAGCTGATGTTAAAGGCACTGCATGACCGAGTGCATGACACACATGTGCTGCTGCATAATTTGGTAATACTTCTCTGATGTGTTTTGTAAAGATAACAGGAAGATTGACTTCCTGAGCTGCATGTGAAGGAGAGCTTCTTCTCTTCCTGCTTGGGTGGGACAATCCAGAGCTAAACAGTCCTCTGTCTCATCATCTTCATCATCATTTCTCTGCCATATGCTTCATCCCTCTCCCTGGTTTGTTAGCTCTGCCACAAACATAAGAACTGTTGATAAAAGTGTAGAGCCTTCATGTTACCTCTTCTTGTGCCCATTTTCATTAAGAAAAGGTTGGAGGTTTCTGAGAGTCAGGACCTGAGTGATCAGTGTCATCTGCAGCTTCGTATCTCTGCTGTGGTTCATCTTCATGTGCCGCCATAGCTCCAGCCGTGTGCTCTTGTGTTACATATTGTCAGTGAACAGAAACCAGTTATAGACTACATGTGAAATGTTTTATTTCTGCCAACAGCTACAAACCCATTTATGAAGTGTTTTTGAACTGAACTGTATCTTCAGTGTGGCCTCATATTCTTTGTTATGTTTTATATTAAAGGAATCATTGATGAATTGACCTGTTGTCTGTAGGCTGTTTCCATGACAACAAGACACATGAAACACATGAGTCAGTGAGCTTCTGCCTTTTTCCAATATATGCTTCGTCTTTTGTTGATTTATTTTATTTTTATTTTGGTTTTTTTTGTACAGAATCTTTTCTCCCTTGGATTGGTTACTAATTAACAGCCATATAAAAGATTAACTTAATAGTGTCATGATTTTATTCAGAGATCTGACCCACATGCAGAAAACCACACAAAGAGACCAGGGGAAGGTTTAACAGGTTAATTGAGAACTGGTAGAGATGGGTCCAGTGCTGCTCAGAACACTGGCGAACCGGGACTGAAAAGGGAAGGGGAAGTTCCTGTGGTTAGTTCAGGCTCAGTGGGAAATTTGAGCTTCGATTTGCAAAAAGGGTATAAAGGCAACGGGACTCGAGTTTCCAGAAAAGGTGTCTTTCTCTGAATCCAGTCGGTGTGGGTTGTTCCAGTAATTGACTTGCTAGTTGGAGGGCGGACAGGGTTTACCCACGTATGAGGTGTTTCTTAGAGGAACAGAGGAGCTGACTGCCACTTAGATTTCCAATGGTACTTGAACGGTTTCTTGTGGAGATGAATCCCCTGCTCAGAGAGAAGCCCAAACAATCCTTCCAGGGGGAGAAGGTCCAAAGCATCCAGTGAGCAGGATGACTTCCTGCCGAGAGGCAAAGACAAAAAACAAGGTTAAAGGAATAGTACACCCAAAACATGATTAGCCTTCATTTTCTACTCATCCCCATGCTGAACAACACTCTGCAGTACTTTTTTGATATCTCAAATGAATCTGGAGATCTGGGAGGCTTCTTGCTGTCTGCTGACATTCAAATAATGGAGGTCTATGGCGCCCGAGACAGAAAGGTCCATAAAAGTCCACAAAAAACGTGTCAATATTCCTCCATACTGCTCGTCCAATGTATTCCAAGTGTCCTGAGTGGGTAGCGTCCATAATTTACTCGAAACAAAGTCATTTAGAATGTTTTTAGAGCATAAACAGTAGTGTATAGGATTTCCTAAAAGTGCGCGCCTTCGAGTTCATAAGTCTACGGAAACCGCGGCAGACCAAACCAGATGAAAGTGCGCATTTAGCGTCTGCTCTGCCGATAATGCAAGCGTAGAAGAAGAAATGTGCTGTTTACCTGTGCAAAGAAAGAAACAACGAAAGAAAAATGTCTGAGGACTCAGTGTTGAGGAAGAGCATGAGTTCTTTGCCGAGCTGAATGCGCACTTTCATCTGGTTTGGTCTGCCACGGTTTCCGTAGAGTCGTGAACTCGCAGGCGCGCCCTTTTAGGAAATCCTTTGGTAGGGACACTATTGGTCTGGTGTCATTGGTGCTATGCAATATGCATGCCCTTTTTTATGCTCGATGTGAGCATCCGTACTGATAAGAGGAATTCATTGTTAAAAGAGAAAAGCAACATTTTGCTCCATTAATAAAAATGTTATAAGCTCTACACTCATTAGATGCTGTTTATCAATGTTTGAATTATCACCGGCTCTGATGAATGTGGAATTAGGACTGTTTTCAACTTTGAAAACGGTTTCATTTGAACGATTAAGAGAGAAGGTAAATACAGTATTTTCTTTTGAAGATACAGAATTGTGCAGAGTTAAACCCCACTCTAATATTTGTACCTACTATTCTCTCTCTGTATCAAGCAAAATAATACATTCATTAAAATATTAACTTCACTATAAAAGTTGAACATCTGGGCTGTAGTTACTCTGTCTAGCCAATTACATGTATTTCATCTGGGGCTGAAAAAAATGAATCATATTAATAGATTATTTCAATAATCGTCAACTTTAGTGAGTGATTCATCATTAACTGAAGTATAGAGACTTTAAAACATACAGTAATATAAATGTAAAATGTGCCTTTCCCCACAGAGCAACCCACTTAGATCAGTTATTATATCAAAATTGTAAAAATAAAAACAAAAAAAAATGAAAACAGTAATATCAACTTAATATCGGTAAAAAGGAAACCCTCACATTTTCTTTTTTAGTTGGCTGTGGCTAAGAATCAGAAATGTTGATGGTTTACAGCCTTTATTTGCCCATTTTTCCAAGTCTTCAGAACTCCTGGCTGACTCAGAATATTTCGTTTTATAAAAGAAAAAAGAGGTTTTGGTTTTTTAGTGTACATGATATTCATTTTTTTTATTGGGACTAGTTTTGTAGCCTAATATTAATTGTAGTAACCGCTGCATTCTAGTGTGAATAAATTTTCAATGTTGTGCTCCAAGCACACGCGGACTAGAAAACAGCCAATCAGAGAGAGAGAAGGCGGAACTTAAGGCAGAACAACCAATGAGAGTTGAGTTAAACAGCACGCACAGTTCCATGCGCTGCTACATGAAAGGGACAGGAGAGACCAGGCAGAGGAGCTGCGAGAGGAAAAGAAGCCACTGCTGCAACAACTACTGCTGGAAATTATAAACATGTTGCTCAGATCCAATTATTGGTCAGGACAATTAGGTCGGTTCAAAATTTTGGTAGGGACATGTCCCTATGGTCCCTATGCAAACCTACGCCCATGAGGTGTACTATTCCTTTAAGGCTCAGGTTGACAAAAACTCAGTTTGACTCAGCAAAACTCCGCTTGGCTAGAGTACCAAAAACTGGCAAACACTCTGGCATCGAGGTAGTGACAGTCAGGTCCAACGAGCTGCAGGTGTGCAGGGAGGCCCAATGAGAGCGGGGCACCACCTGGTGGAGGAGGAAAGGAAACACAAAAAGTAACCCACAAAAACTGGATTCCTGACAAATAGTACAAGTCTTTTGATTATTATTATTATGCAAAATAAACTCATTAGAGCTTTTAAATTTGTTATAATTCTATTATTTTATCAAGATTCTACACATCTGAGTGGTCCTCATAAATTCTGATGTTTAAGCAGCAGCCCCTCCCTTTACTGGAACAAGCAAGTGGTTAAGGCATGTAAACATAGAGCTGTTATTACCTTCTCTGACCATGCGATGCCTGCCCAGGTGAAAACATCCCACTTTTTCTACTCAGCAGTAACTTTAGCATATACAGGTACTGGTCATAAAATTAGAATATCATGAAAAAGTAGATTGATTTCAGTAATTCCATTTAAAAAGTGAAACTTGTATATTATATTCATACATTACATACAAACTCATATATTTCAGATGTTTATTTTGTTTAATTTTGATGATTACAAATGACAACAAATGAAAATCTCAAATTCATCATATCAGAAAATTAGAATATCGTGAAAAGGTTCAAAATTGATGGCCCCTGGTGCCACACTCTAATCCGCTAATTAACTCAAACCACCTGCAAAAGCCTTTAAATGGTCTTTCAGTCTAGTTCTATAGGCTACACAATCATGGGGAAGACTGCTGACTTGACAGTTGTCCAAAAGACGACCATCGACACCTTGCACAAGGAGGGCAAGACACAAAAGGTCATCGCTAAAGAGGCTGGCTGTTCACAGAGCTCAGTGTCCAAGCACATTAATAGAGAGGCGAAGGGAAGGAAAAGATGTGGTCGAAAAAAGTGTACAAGCAAGAGAGATAACCGCACCCTGGAGAGGATTGTGAAACAAAACCCATTCAAAAATGTGGGGGAGATTCACAAAGAGTGGACTGCAGCTGGAGTGAGTGCTTCAAGAACCACCACACACAGACGTATGAAAGACATGGGTTTCTGCTGTCGCATTCCTTGTGTCAAGCCACTCTTGAACCACAGACAGCGTCAGAAGCGTCTTGCCTGGGCTAAAGAGAAACAGGACTGGACTGCTGGTGAGTGGTCCAAAGTCATGTTCTCTGATGAAAGTAAATTTTGCATTTCCTTTGGAAATCAAGGTCCCAGAGTCTGGAGGAAAAGAAGAGAGGCACTTCATCCACGTTGCTTGAAGTCCAGTGTAAAGTTTCCACAGTCAGTGATGGTTTGGGGTGCCATGTCATCTGCTGGTGTTGGTCCATTGTGTTTTCTGAGGTCCAGGGTCAACGCAGCCACATACCAGGAAGTTTTAGAGCACTTCATGCTTCCTGCAGCTGACCAACTTTTTGGAGATGCAGATTTCATTTTCCAACAGGACTTGGCACCTGCACACAGTGCCAAAGCTACCAGTACCTGGTTGAAGGACCATGGTATCCCTGTTCTTAATTGGCCAGCAAACTCTCCTGACCTTAACCCCATAGAAAATCTATGGGGTATTGTGAAGAAGAAGATGCAATACACCAGACCCAACAATTCAGAAGAGCTAAAAGCCACTATTAGAGCAACCTGGGCTATCATAACACCTGAGCAGTGCCACAGACTGATCGACTCCATGCCACGCCGCATTGCTGCAGTAATACAGGCCAAAGGAGGCCCAACTAAATACTGAGTGCTGTACATGCTCATACTTTTCATGTTCATACTTTTCAGTTGGCCAACATTTCTATAAATCCTTTGTTTTTATTGGTCTTCAGTAATATTCTAATTTTCTGATATAATGAATTTGAGATTTTCATTTGTTGTCATTTGTAATCATCAAAATTAAACAAAATAAACATCTGAAATATATGAGTTTGTATGTAATGTATGAATATAATATACAAGTTTCACTTTTTAAATGGAATTACTGAAATCAATCTACTTTTTCATGATATTCTAATTTTATGACCAGCACCTGTAGTCCTAAGAACAGCTAAGATACTGCGCAGAACCCTCAAACTCCCAGGCCTCTGGTAGAGGACCCCAGCTTGAGGATGATACATACCACCCCACGAGGGGTGAGAAAACAGTTTTTGGTTTTTTTATAGTATCTTGCCTGTGTCAAGAAGTTCAGGCTGAGTTTTTTTTTTTTTTTTTTTTTTGCTGTAATCCCGGTATATATGTTGACATTTATTGATTGTCTAAAAATCTATCTGAAAATATCAAACATATTTCAAATTTAAACAAAGATGTGAAATAACACAATATAGCAAACAATGACTTCAATCATTATCGGTCATCAAATC